CTCTTGGGTGGCAAGGGACAGATACCTCACAGCATGTCCAGGATGGACCTGGCTTACCCCGTCACCTGTCTGTCCGGTGCTGGGTGCCAAGGCCGCCTACAGCTGTGAGCCAGCAGTGTGGAAGTGCATCCTCCCGATGGCAGCGTGTCACGCAGGGGTCTTTATACCTATTACTACACTGTCTTCACTGTGCTCAGTGGTCCTCACACAGTGGAAGGCTGTTGTTACACTGTGGCATTGGTGGCCTGAGAGTCAAATATCCTGTGTATGACAGGATTATTTTTTTTTGAAACAGCATCTCACTGTGTAGCCCAGGTTGGCCTTGAACCCTCGATGAGTCTCCTGCCTCAGCTTTGTGACTGCTGGGATTCTAAATATATGCCACAGCATCCAGCTATATGCTGCTTTTGTAAACAGCCATTTCCTCATACCAGTTCAGTATCTTTTCTTATTCTGAGATGAAATGTAGGGTTTTCTTTTCCATCTTTACCTGTTACATGACCCTTGTCGGGTGTCATAGGTGCATGTCCAAGCTCTTCGTGGAGAGCAGGTCAGCTGGTCCACTTCATGTCCTTGTGGCCAGGTGAGTATGGAGAAACAATCCTGTGTTTCCAGTGCGAGGGTTGTGATCAGGTGGGGTCCTTCTTAGCACCCGTCTTGGCCTCTGGCCACAGGCTCAGTCACAGGACTGCTGCTGTCCTCTGTTTTTCCCTCTGCTTTGGCACAGGCAGTGTATAAATGCGCGTCCGAGTTAGGGATATGTGCAGCAGAGTCCTCGCACCTGGAGGCTTGAACTGAGGCTTCCAGCAGTGGAGAAAGGGCAGTTGCTTATAGCAGCAGGTTGGCTCTTGCTTCCTGGGGACACACTATGCTGTGTAGAGGAGCAGGGTAAGGGTACTTTGTTCTGGTGAGTGTCACTGTGGAGCAGTGGGGTGAGTTTTCTGCCAGGAGACAAAGAGCCAAAGTGCAGAGTGTGGTTTTGGAACAAACCAGCAGACTGCTTAGGTCACAGCTTGGGCCCTGTTGATGGGATGATTTGTCTTGTTTTTGAATGCTGGTCCCAGGGATGGAAACCAGGGCCTCCTGCATGCCAGGCATGGGCACTGCCATGGAGTTACCCCCAGCTGTGGTGTGTGGCTGGAGACCTCTGTGGTCCTGACTACCAGGAGGTTCCTGTCTTGTTCCCCAGATCTCAGGCCACATTTCTGCCATTTCCCTGCTGGTGGCTGAGGCGTAGGTAGCCCCTGGAACAAGTTAGGAACCAGGAGTCAAAGTGGGGTGACATTTCTTTTGTGTCAAGTGTCCCACAGCACTGTCCTTGGAGTTTGCTGTGACTGAAAGCAGAGCTTCTCCAACAGTGGCGGTGGTGGTGGTGATGGCGTGGCTCTGGAGCACTGACCCTGCTGTGAGCTCTGAGAGGCCATTCCCTGCAAACAGAATCTTTCTGCTCTTCCCTGTGTCTTAACCCAACACAACCCCAGCCCCAGCCCTAGCCCCAGCCCGGCATGGGCCCAGCTCCTCCAACCTTACCTCAGACTTTGTGAGAATATGCACAGTTTTTTCTTTTCAAATTGCTTCAAAGAATTATAGAAACAGGGCAGAACATTTTCATTTCCCCAGATTTCCCAAATACTAATTTACCACATATATGCACCCTTCTCTGAAAGGCAACTACATGTCGCTTTTTTAGCCCAAATATTTCCATGTGTATTTTCTCAAAAACACTCTCTTTGTAACTGCAGCCCTGGTGTCCAGCATCCACTGCCTCCGCCCCAGCCTCCTCCAGCTTTGTTCACCTCAGAAGAAAACAAAACAGTGTTTTGAGTAGGCTCACGCATTGTGCTGACTTCTCCCATCTCTTCGATCTCCTTTAATTTGTCCCCTTTCTTCAGTCTTTCTCCCCCATAGTATTTCTGTTTTCAAAGAGCATGCATGCTGTTTTCAGCTCCTCTGTAGAGTATCCCTTGGAGTAGATTTGTCTAGTGTCGCCTCTTGTTTAAGTCATGTCTCTCTTTGTCAGGAGCCCTAGAAGTGTCTGTCCTCTCAGCACACTGAGGCTGGACTCTGATGTTGCTTTGCCATGGCAGTGACATTGGCTTTGGGCCAGCGCAAACCATATCTCTTTGGCGAAGCATTGCAAAGTTTCTGAAGTACTCTCGGCCTGAATGGCTGCAGAGCTTCCATCTGTCTGCCTTGGTGTAGACAGAGGAAATGGGTGCCAGAGGGTTGAGGGGAGCAGTCCTGTGCTGGGTCTGAGCCCAGGCAGGTGCAAGGCTGAGGGCAGCCTACATCATGACTTCGGAGTGGTCCTCCTTGGGGCCGGACCCTTTTGCTCCTGCACAGAGCTCTCAGGAGGACACTTGCACAGAGAATAGATGCACCTGCTGAGACTGTCAGGGGACTGCTGTGCTGGTGGGAATGAAGGTGGAAGTATGACGACTGAATTTAGGGATTGCCATGCGCTTTTTCCTATTCTTTGCATGTTCCCCCTGCCCCCGTGGTGAGACTGAGCCAGGGCACCCATCAGGGTGCACCCCCCGCCTTGTCTGCACCATTCTTGTGATGTGTCTGGAATCCTGTGATGTCCCACATGCAGGTCTATGGCCATTTCTACCCTCTTTCCTGTATAGAGGGCTCTGTCCCAGGCAGCTCTCCTTGGTGCTGTCCCTCCAGGGTCACCATTTGTGTGCTCATTTTGAAAATGTTGTATGTATGGGATACTAGTGTAGCTTTTGGGGCCTGGCCTTTTCCACTGTGCAGATGTGTTAAGGGCCGCGCTAGCTACACGCACAACCACTTTGTCTGTCTGCTCTCCTCCCGAAGCACATTTGAGTAGTTTCTGGCAGTGCTGTGAGGAGTAAGGTTGCTGGGCATGCTCAACAGTAGGCACAGAATGAGTGTTTTCTTTCTCTTTTTTTTATAAGACAGGCTCGCTATGCAGTGCAGGCTCTTCCTTTTGCCTCAGCCTCCTGAGTGCTGGGATTACAGGTGTGTGCCACCACGTTGAGCTGCGTGAGCATTTTCATTTCTCTGGGTAGATGCCAGTAGTACAGTTGTTTGGCTGGATAATTACCTGTATGTTTAAGTTTCTGCAAATCTGCCAACTGACTTGCAATGTGATTGCGCTGTTGTGCAATCCCAGCAGGACACAGGAGCCGTCTCCACTTCCTCATCAACACCTGGAACACTCGGCCTTCTCAGATTCACCTGTCCTCGCAGTGTTCAGTGATACTGCATTTGGGATGCAGGTGACAGGTCTCACTGTGTTACCCTGGTTGGTCTCTAACTGGTGGGCTCAAATGATGCTCTTGCCTCTGCCTCCCAAGTAGCTGGGATTTGAGTGTCGTTTGTGCCAACTGCTAGTGACGTGGGACATTCTTTTCTGTATACTTCCCACCTGCACTTTGTCTTCAGGCGAAGTGTCTGTTGTAATCTTTTCCTTCTTCTTATTGGCTTGTTTTATATTCTGACTTCGGGTGGCTCTTCCCACACATCCTCTAAGCGAGAATCCTTCACTGACATGTGATTTGGAACATTTTCTCCCAGAAAGTGACCAAGACAAGGTGGCTTTTTTGTCCTGTGTCTTAACTGGGTATCTGGCAGAGCAGCCATGCTGTTGGGGGGTGTGTGTTAGAGGCAGTGGCAGAACATACTGGCTATGGATGGCTGACTCCTGAACCCCTGAGTGATATGGCTGCCTGTGTGGGGTCGCTGGAAGAGAACCCTGGGTAGGCCATGCTTGCAACCCAGCACTAGTACAGCTGGAGACTCTGGGAGGGTATTGAGGCTTGGAAGGGTATTGGGGCTTTGGAGCCCAGGAAACTGAAGGCTGGAAGGGGGATTTTGAAACCAATCTGTGTGTGTGGAAGTCCAGGTCATGGGTCTGGAGAAACCACTGAAAGAGGAGCTAGAGGAGTGAGGTGGAACCCAATGGGGCAAGACCTGGGGGGGTATGGTATCTGGGACTGCCTCGTGCCTCACTCAAGAGGGGAAAGGAAGGGGACCTGATTGCTGCTGGTTCAGAGGCAGTGTGGGCCTGGTTCTGCTCATGCTCCCATGGCAGAGTACCACAGCCTGGGCAGTTGAGTAGAGGGAAATAAATTTGGCTCATGGTTCAGGAGAACGTGGCACCAACACCTGGCAAGTGGGTTGAGACCCAGAGGGTATATGAGTCTCTGGGTTTGTTTTGTTTTTGTGGTATTAATGATTGAACCTTAGCACTGAGCCATCACGTTCCCAGCCTTTTAAATCTATTAATGTTTTATTTTGAGACAAGATTTTGCTAAATTACCTAGGCTGGGCTCAAAGTTGTTTAGACTGGGCTAGAACTTGTGATCCTCTTGCCTCAGCTTCCCAGAGTGCTGGGATTACAGGCATGGCATCAACTAGGCTGGCAGTTTTGTTTTTATTTTCAGATGGGGTCTTGCTGTGTAGTTCAGGCTGTGCTTGAGCTTGTAATCTTTCTGCCTCAGCCTCCCAAAAGTTGGGATTATGGGCATGCGCCACCATGCCTGGCTGATTTGTTGTTATTCCATGAAGAAGGAATGTTTTCTTTATGGGGGGAAAAAAACCTAACACAAAATTGTCTGTGGCTTAGTGACCCAGGTATATTTATATACTTACTTTGAAAAGAATAATACATACCAAGTGCTATTCAAGTTTTTATTTTATTTGTTCATTTTCTTTTCCTAGTCTCACATGCTAGGTAAGCGCTGTATCTTTGAGCTGCCTCCTCAGTTCCAAGTTGTATTTTAAATCTACTATAAGACCTAAAACATATTTATGCATTTATCTTAAAAGGAGTAATAGAGATTAAATGGCACTTCACTGTTTTCCTAGTCATAAAAACCCTCCCTGTGACTTTGCTTATTAGCACTGTGTAGCTCTGGTGGACAAGCTTGGCAGTGGAGGTGGCGCGGCGTCCCCATCATTGCCTGTGGGATGCTCAGGGACTCCAACGGGATGCAGACAGGTGCTGACTGTGTGGTTTGTTTCTCCAGGTGCACATTCAGGTTTCCGAGCACAAACATCAAGATAACGTTCACAGCCCTGTCCAGTGAGAAGAGGGAGAAACAGGAGGCCCCCGAGTCCCCAGTGAAGCCTGTGCAGCCGCACATCTCCCCTCTGACCATCAACATTCCAGACACCATGGCCCACCTCATCAGTCCCCTCCCGTCCCCCACAGGCACCATCAGGTATGCACGGCCGTGGGGTAGTGCTCCCTCTGTGTCCAGCTGCTGTGGAGAGGGAGGTGTTATAGGTGCTTAAAATACCTCTTGAATTTGGGAGACTGCTGCCAACTGCTGTATCATGAAATGCAATTCCCACATGTTCCTTTTTTTTCTTTGCAGTACTGGGGATGGAACCCAGGGTTGCCTGCATGCTAGCCAGGTGCTGTACCACTGAGCTGCACCCCTGGCCCTTTTGTAAAAATTTTGAGGCAGGGTCTTGCTACATTGCCCAGGCTGGCCTTGAATTCATGATCCTCCTGCCTTGGCCTCCTGAGTAGCTGTAGTCACAGGTGTGCGCTACCACACCTGACTTGTTTATGGTTTTTAACTAAGGATCATTTTAGTGGAGTATAAATTGATGATTTATAAGATTGGTCTAAAGTCTGAGATAGGCTTTTAATTAGAATTTGGTACAGTTTCATATAAACTCCGAAAATGTATACTTTGGTTTGAACACACCGAAGTGACCAAGTCACATCACTGTTATTCAAGAAAGACCCTGTGACTCAGAAACAGAGGATGACAGCACCAAGCACAGCCATAAAGCCTGCCTGTGCAGGTGGAGCTGGGCCCTGGTGCAGTGTGGCAGAGTCAGAGAGGAGGACTCTGTGCCGGTCTGCACCTACCCAGGGCTTGAGCGTGAGTCAGGCCTGCTTGCTGTGGTCTGCTGGTCTCAAGTGTGCAGAGTAGCATGGGGCCTCCTATTGGGAGTATGCAGGTCAGACGCGGGGAGCAGGCACATTTCCTCTCTGCAGTCAGCGCTACGGTCCAGGCTGGGTGCAGCAGATGGCTGGCTGGCAGGAGGGCGCCCCTTGTCTGCCCAGTACTGCGTGTCTGTGTGGCCCACTGAGGAAGAAGGACACAGGGGAACTGAGACCGCATGGGGTTATACCTCGAAGTTGATGTCTTATTTTAAAAACCAGCATCAGTCATCAGCTTTCTGGAAATTAAGAGCATAAACAAGTAGAAACACATCTCATGTTAGATGGAAGACTTAGCAGTGTTAAGGTGTCAATACTAATCAAGCATTCTACAGATTCAGTGTCAGTTCCATCAAAATACCAGTGATGGGTTTTTTTGTTTGTTTGTTTGGGGTTTTTTTGTCTTTTTGAGACAGGGTCTCACTATGCAGTTCAGGCTGGCCCTGAGCTCACTTTGTAGCCTTAGGCTAGTCTCGAATTCACAGTGATCCTCCTGCCTCAGCCTCCTGAGTACTGGGATTACAGGTGTGTGCCACCATGTCTGGCCCCCAGTAATGTTTTTTTGCCAAAACAGAAAATGCATCCTGAAATTTATATGGAATCTCAAGAGATGCCAGAGTCAAAACAGTTTTTTCCCCTAGTTCTGGAAATTGAAGCCTGGGCTTCCTATATGCTAGGAAAGTGCTCTGCCACTGAGCTACACACTACTGAGTTCTTCTTAAATTTTAAACCTTTTTTTTTTTTTTGCTTTTTATGAGACAGGGTCTCACTCTGCATGTAATTCAGGCTGGTCTTAAATTCACTATGTAGACCAGACTAGTCTTCAACTCACAATGATCCTTCTGCATCATCCTTCCAGATGCTGGCCCTTTTTAAATTTTAAATCGAGACAGAGTCTCAGTAACTTGTCCAGGCAGGCTTGCATTTGTGATCCTCCTACCTTGGCCTCTCTAGTAGTTGGGATTATAGGCCTGTGCCACCAAGCCTAACACAGTATTTGTCTTTTTTCCCCCTAATGCCTCTGTCATTTACTGGTTTTCTAAATAACCTTATCTTGATATTCCATTTCAGTGGCTCATTTTTTAAATTGATGTATTAAGTCATATTGTGCTTGTCGCTGTGGTCAGGCCTGAGGTGCACAGTTAGACCTGATCATGTCCCTTCTGTGAGGAGAAGGTGCCTGTCTGCTCTCCAGGTGTGCCTCACAGCCTCAGCCATGGCCTCCTGGAGCACAGCCTGTGCACTGCCCTGCCTTCCAAGTGGACCTGCCCTGCCCTCCTCTGTCCCAGCTCCACAGTGGGGAGGGGTGGCAGGCCATGTGCTCTCTGTCCATGGACCCACTGCATGTCATTTGGACGTTTGGTAAGTTCTGGAGCCATCAGAACCTCAGTTTTCTCTTGGGGCCACTATCTGGAGAGGTTGTGTTATATGCAGTGATGTGTGTCGGGGCAGGGAGCCCTTTTCCGCCTTGCTTCACGGAAACGGGAGAGTCCTATTTTCCCCATTGCTGATGTTCTCTTTTCAGCATTTTTGTTTTGTTTTGTTTTTGTCTTTTTGAGACAGAGTTTCACTGTGCAGTTTAGGCTGACCTTGAACTCTCTTGGTAGCCCACACCTGGCTTGTTTCCTATTTTCCCTGACTCAGAGCCAGTTACTGAAGCATATATGGTGCACACTGGATAGTGGGCTACAGGTACAACTTTCTCTCTTCCACAGTGCTGCAAACTCCTGCCCATCCAGCCCCCGGGGAGCGGGGTCTTCAGGGTACAAAATGGGCCGCGTGATACCATCTGACCTCAGTTTAATGACTGACAACTCACAGCCAGAAAATGAAAAGGAAGCTTCAGGTGGAGACAGCCCAAAGGTAAATGGTCTGGCCTTACAGCCAGCCCCAGGGCCGTTTGCTGCCTGGTCCTCACACTGTCACCTGTGTGTCCAACAATAGCTCCAAGGGTTAAGGGTCACATGGCAGCGTGGGTGTGGCGTTGTCTCCAGGTCTCTGGGCAGTCAGTCTGGTGTGGGGGTGGGAAGTGCATTCCTGGAGTCACTCAGCACCTCGGTGGCTGGCATGGGTGTGGGGCACACGTCTGTCCCCTGCCATACCACTCCAGAGGTCACATGTGTGTGCACCCTTGGGGAAGGCACAGCCACCCCTTTTTTTGGACAGCAGTTGCTAACAATAACAGTGTGATTCTGCATGTTTTTATTCTTTGACCTAGTAAGCAATTTCTCTTGCTGGACTTTGAAGGAAATGGACAAAGTTTATGTGAAACAAAATTAAAAGCTGCCTAGGCTGGGGATATAGCTCAGCGGCACAAGCACCTGCCTGGCAAGTGCAAGGTCCTGAGTTTGATTCCTGGTACCCAAAAAAGAAAACAAAACAAAAACCAAAAAAAAAGTGACCTAAATGCCCCAGAAGGAACAATGACTTAAGATACAGTGGCCCAGGAAGGCATGTGTGAAATGTTTTCTGATGGAAAGTGTAATGCTAAGTAAAGAAAAACTATAACCCTCAATTACTTTCGCAAACTTGGATGTACTCTGCCTTGGAAGGCCCTGGCCTGTGGGAATGGGTGGTCCTTGTGTGCCCAGAGCAGCCTCTGCTTTCTGCTCGCTTTACAGCATTTGTTCAGCCAATGTGGGTATATTGTGAGCCTTTCTGTGCTTTTAGAAATGCGTGGAAGCACAGCAGCAGGATAGGCACAGTGATGGAGGTCTGCAGCTTGGCCACTTCGCAGCTGTGGGTCTTCACCATGCCTTGTGTTGGGCATTGGGCTAGGGGAGTGGATCTTATGGATGCTGGGATCCCAGCGGTTAAGTTTTTCTGTTTGGTGGATGACAGCAAATCTTATGGATGCTGGGATCCCAGCGGTTAAGTTTTTCTGTTTGGTGGATGACAGCAAATCTTATGGATGCTGGGATCCCAGCGGTTAAGTTTTTCTGTTTGGTGGATGACAGCAAGCAAACCAGTGCCTACCACCAGCTTCCAGGACAAAGCTCAGGCCCTGCCTATCCTGGACATCCTGGCCTCAGCTGACTCTCAATAGCCCTTTTCTCCCCTGTTCTCTTAGTCCATTTGCACTTATCCTTGAATATTGTCTCTAGTCATTTGGTTTAAAACTTCATATAAATAGTATCTTGACTGTATTTCATTGCGAGTTATTTTTTTGTCATTCACATTTATGTGCTGGTATATGCATGTTCCCAGAAGCTCACACAGGACTGGGAGTTCTCTCCAGCAGCTTACGCTGCTGCGTCTGGGTTTTGATTTTGTTTTGCAAGGTGTTGGGGTTTGAACTCAAGACCTCCTGCATGCTTGGCAAGTGCTAACCCCCACCACCCCCACCCTTTTATGAAATGGAGTCTCACTCAGTTGCTCATCTTGGCCCTGAACTTGTGATACTCTTGCTTCAGCCTCCCAAGTAGCTGGGGTTACAAACGTGTGCCACCGTACCCCATGCATGTAGGATTATGGGTTGTCACAGTGAGCTACCAAAGACTGTGAACGAGCCATGACCATGGCTGCTAACATCTGTGCAGGATGCCACACATCCCAAATTGGACCCCCTTTCTGACTCCTTCACACTCACAGTGTGTGATGTGTCCTGTGTGGAATCCCCTGGGACAAGCCTTTGGGCAGCTCTGCCCTCAGCACTCCTGGTGCCTCCTGCTGCACATGAGGACCCCCAGCATTGGGGCCTGGAGATCTGGGGTCTGGCTGTCCCTTCTGCTTCTCATACGCCTGGCCAGCTGGCTTCCCTGTCACTGTGGGGTCAGAGTTCCAGAGCCTATGGTGGCTTCCTGTGTGTTGCACTGAACTCCACTAAGTTGAGGCAGCTTGCTTAGTTGTGCTTTTGGTATGTCATTTTCAATCTTCTTTTATACTCTCCAGTGTCCCCCCCCTTTTTGCATTTATTTAAAACTTTAGCATATAATATAAACGTTTATTTCTTTTAAAGATTATAAAACCTGTTCTGTGACAGGAATATAAGTGATATTGTTCCGGTATTATTCATGGATCTATCAGGAAAGCTTGGATTACACGTGAATAATATGATTTGCAGTCATGAAATGCTTGTAAAGTATCAAATATCACTGAATACTGTTAATTATTTTACTTTTTTTTTTTTTTTTTTGGTTTTTTTCCAGCACCGGGAATCGAACTCACGACTGCACTGTGCTGCTGAGCTAAATCCCCAGCCCCTGTTAATTGTTTTACTAAAGAGTCCACTCTGGGAGGTTTGCAAATCACTTCCCCATTTGTTTCCTCCAAGTTTTCCAAATTGTATTAATTTTATACTAAGAAAAACTAAGCATTGTTAGAGGAACATTTAAAATAATCCTAAATTTTAGCTGAAAAAATGTTAACGTCTGTACTTTTTCTTTTTAAATATAGGATGATTCAAAGCCACCTTATTCCTATGCACAATTAATAGTACAAGCAATTACAATGGCTCCTGATAAACAGCTCACCCTAAATGGAATTTATACCCACATCACTAAAAACTATCCCTACTATAGGACTGCGGACAAGGGCTGGCAGGTAAATCCATTTCAGTTTATTAAACATTTCTGTGTTGTGTCTTATAGACAGTGGTTGATACTCAGAGGAGATTAAGGTGGTGCTTTATGTAATTCAGATGCAGGTTAACAAATAGAGTGAGAGGAGTGAGACTTTGTCTTGCTGGGAGCGAGCACTCAGGGCTCGATGCAGAGTGCTGGGAGAGAAAGCAAGCTCCTGTGGAAGAACCTGTGTCTCCATGGGTTGCGTGAAGCATGAGTTGTTTGGGATGTTTCTCTCTGTCCACTACAGTTTATTCCGTGTATCTGAAACGTGGGAAGATTTAAAGATCTAGACCAAGGATGGTGAACCTCTTAGAGTCCGAGTGCCAAACTGGAACCCCAGACCTACTTATTTATGGCAGAGTACCAACACTGCAGCAAAACTTGAACTCAGGGTCTTAGTTTAGAAAAAGCAACTCATACATTAACATCTTTTGGCTTAAAAATGACCATGCTGTGTGCCAGAGGCTCCCCTTGCTGGGCTAGCCTGCCCTTTTCCTGGGCATCCTCTGCCCTCCCGTGCACTGCTGCTGAGACCCAGAGGCTGTGGTGCCTGCACAGCTGGGGTGCCTCCTAAGGATTTGTCCAGCGAGGGCCGCAGGAGCCCCACGCAGCAGCACTTAATTCTTTTATTTACCCTTCCCTTTTACCCCACGAAGTCCCAGAAGTTACACCAATAGGTTTTAAGCCTTTACATTATGTAGGATTTTTGTGTGTGTGTCTGACTACTGAATATATAGTACAATCTTGCTAATTGAGACAATTAGGGAAAGGATAGGTTTGGAATATAGAATATTAAAAACATGCCAGGCGTGATGGCACACACCTGCAATTCCAGCACTTGAGAGGCTGAGGCAAGAGAATTGACTCAAGTTTGAGGCCAGCCTGGCCTACATATAGTGAGTTCAAGGCCAGAGACCCTGTCTCAAAAAAAAAAAGACAAGATAAAAGAGAAAAGCAATGTCTGCTTGTGATGTTTTTTCACTAAGTAACCAGGAATGACTTGAGAATTTCTTTGAGGCTTTGTTTTGATGAGTACATGATTCTTTTAAACAGTGTGCTGCCGAATCATAACCCTATAATTTAGCAGTGAGGGTGTGGAGGGGGAGGGGTTACTTTTGTATTTATTGAAAGGAAAAAACTCCTTATAGGTGCAACTATATAAACATGTTATAAACCAAGTGTAAATAGTCTCCCGACAAAATCCTCTGTATTCCCGCATAGGATGCAGGGTCCGACTGTGGAAGGCTCGGAGTCACACGACTGCCCCTCCGTACTGTGTTTGCCACCATCTCACACTGGCATTGTCTTCCTCTTAGGGGATCTTACTGCAGTGCAGAGTAAATTCTAGCCGTGTACACCATATTTTATCTGTAAGAGTGAGGTTGTGTTTAAAACAAAAAATAAAACAGAACAGAACAAAAATAAGATTATTTTAAAGAACAGAATTTATATGCATGCTCTGGAGACTGTGGCTCCCTATCAAGGGGGAGCTCCCCAAGGAACACGGTCACTTTGTGGGCCTGTGAGAGTCCCTGAGGATGCAGCCTTTCATATGCAGAATTCTGATGATCCAAATACCAGTTCCCCAGGGTTTTGTAGGAATGTGTGTTTCTGAAAAGGCCTGGTAGACTTCTGTGTGTCTGGTGTTTCCATGTATTTTTCTAACATGTATCAGTGGAGAATTTCTGAGCACCACCAGGTTTTCCTGGTGATTCCTACCGTGGAATAGTTCTCTTGGGGCCTGAGTCAAGAACAACTGGGGCCAGGAAGTGAGCTCCCAATCCCAGGCCACCTGAGCCTGAGTTTCTTGTGCAGGACCCTGGATAAGGTGTGCAGAGGCCTTCTGGCCAGTAGACGTAACTTGACAGCCCACTGAGCAGAGTTACGACCGCTGCTGTGGAGTGATTGCCCTCTTAACAGATTGCGATGACACTTTTTTTTTAAAGAAATGATTTTTTTGCCTTTGTAATTGCATAGTTAGCTTTATCCCAGCATCTATGTGTGAGCTACATCCCCAGCCAATTTTTAAATTTATTTTCAAATTTTGAGACAGGGCAGACTTCAATTTGTAATCTTCCTGCCTCAGCCTCCCAGAGTACTAGGATTACAGATGTGTCCCACTATGTCTGGTTCAACCTTCGTTTTTATTGGAGCAATTTATTTTTTTGTCTAGATCAAATCCTGTACATCTCTTGCCCAAACGAGATTGTTTCTAGGACATTTTGTTGGCTCCAGCTAATGTAATAGGAGAGAGACTAACTTGCTGTCAGCCCCTGTAGTTCACAGACTTGAATTTTTCATTTCTTTCTGTCCCTCAGGTGTGTGCTTGGCTTTGGAGTAGTGGCCCTCAGGCCCTTAGGTGTACTTTCTCTGCCCTCAGCACTCCAAGCTGCCCTGCCCAAAGCAATTGCCTTCAGTCTCTTCCTCCCCCAGCTTATGCCAAAAAACCTTTCACTTTGTAGCCTCTGTCATTGTCTCTGTCTGCCTGCCTTGCTGCTTGAACTTGTGGTCTTGCCTCGCGAGTAGCAGGGATTATAGGCGTATACCGGAACATCTGGTTATGTGCTGTTTATTTGCAGAAAAGCACAGAAATGGTGAGCAGTGGAGCCCTTTTAAGAGGTGGATCTGTAGCTGTGTTCCACTCTTTGTGCAGGACATGGGGCTGCGCCCTCTGCTTTTCTGAGCCCAGGCCGGTCCCCTGGTCCCTGTGCTCACAGTAGTCCCCATGAGGGATCTGTCCTCTCAAGCCTTTGGCAGCATCCACGACTGCCTCTTGCATTTAGTTTTAGTATTTTACAGGATCTGCCTGTGACTCAGAGTGGGCACCTGTTGAGTAGCAGGTGCGGAGCTCACAAATGGGTCTTATGAATGGGTTTTGGATAGCATCCCGTTAGGAGCAGCTCTGGCCCAAGAGGGTTTGCTCAGTGCTACACAGGTCTTCTCCTCATCAAGCCTAACAACGTCCTTTTCCTAACAACGTACTTTTCAGTGTGTACTGATTTCTAGAATACTGGAGTCAGCACCTGTGGTTTTAATACACTTCGGAACAGAATACCTTAACCCTGCACAGGCCTTAAATGACCTTAAATGACCTTGAGTACTGTTTCTGTTTGGGTCTACAGTAAATGTCTCATCACTTCCTCTTATTTTCTGGACTCTCATTGGCTAGAAAATTGCAGGTGACCACTTGCCCAAGGTTGGTTGAAGGGTGTGACTGGAGAGGTCACCTGTTAGCTAGTGTGAGGCAGCTGCAGGCAGCTTCCTCTTCTAGAACTGCAGAAGACGAAGCAGCTCCCTGATTCTGAGAACTTCCTGTGTGATACTGTAGCAGAGGGGCAACCCTGTGGCTCATGATCCTGTTCTTTTCTCCCAGGATAGGTAGCCCAGTTCCCTGGAATGACATTTCCTTTTTCTGCAGTCCCTTTATCCTTACCATGTTTTTCTGCCTGATAACATGCAAATTAAATTACTCTACATGGGTTGGCCCCAGGGTGGTCTACTTTGGGGGCACCTGGGCAGCACTGTTGATGGCAGTGTGGGGCTTGGGCCTCCCAAGACACAGGTTTGGCCACCATCCTGTCCCGTGCAGGCTGGGCACCTTACCCAGAGTGCATGGATCCAGTGTGTTTTTGTTCCAGTTTCCAGTATTTTCATAGTTTAGAATCTTTGCTTATACATAACGATATCTCAGGGAGCCAAGTTTAAACCAGAACCCACTGACATTCCACACATGCCCTGTCCACACAGCCAAAAGGTAGTTTCCTATGGTGCAACACTCTCCTTGCACCAGTTTTGTGACCACAGTTTGGCCCCAGATCCCCTGTGGAATTTCACTTGTGCTGTCATCGAGGCACTCACAGTTTCAGATTTTGGAGTCAGGTTAGGAACATTTTAGTCTAGAGGGTCTGCGTTAGCATGGTCTGAGGAGTACATCTCCTCTTCGGACATGACACTGGCAAAGCTCACTGTCCCTGTCTGTTCTGGGCACTAGGAAGAGTCACATCTGTTTTCTGGAGGAGCTGAAGGAAAGATCGGTTGGTCTTCTGGTCCACTTGGTGGGACAGGGTCTGTGCAGGTGCCTTTGGTTATTGAAATACTCTTAATTTCCACAAATATGTGCACTTAAAGAATTGTGTGAAGCAGACATACAAGCCTTCCCTTCAAGCTGCTGGAGGTGAACCTCTGGGCTGCAGAGTCTGAGGACTTTACCATGGCCCATTATACCAAACCATCCCTGGGAACATTGTAAATCATATTTGGTGTGTGCTTGTTTTCTTAGCTGCCACTGAGAATTGAGAATTGCAGGCTGTGGCTAACAGATCTGTTAAGGGGAAATTAAAAACAATTTTTAGGTAGCAGCAAATTTCATTTTGAGTTACTACCACTTTGAGACTTTGTAATTTTAAAATTCACCCTTAACTGTAAAAGCAGTAAATGTTGGTGTTAATCTGTAACTTTTAACCAGTTTTGGCCTCGATGGTATAGCCTGAGTCAGGGAGTTTTTGGGGGGCAGTTTTTCTCAGCTCCTTGCCAAACGTGAAGCTAGGAGTTAAGAGAGATTTTCCTTATGTGCCTTATGCAGTTATTGGGGTTTAAAAACTTATTTGGACATTGTCAACACAGAGCAATGTAGCTCTTCCTGGAAGGTGGCATCAGTATTGTTGGCATTTGCCGGTTTACCAAATGCTTCAGACTGCAGTAAATTAATTTATCTGAAATGGCGCAGCGGAGTCTACAGCCTGTTTCCCTGCAAAATGCACCATACCTGAAAGGAGAAGCTCATGCCAGTTTTGTGCAGAGCTGGTGGCAAGGTCCTGGCTGTCCCCAGAGCCTCAGTTCTTGTGTGGGGAGGTGGGAGTTGGATCCCTCACCCTCCCAACGCCCGACTCCTGGCTTGGGCCACCAGCCGCTTGACTCCCTGAGGAACTGTGTCCTTCGCACTGGAGACCGCGTGGGGAAAGGCCAGGTCCTGCTTGCAGCCTCTGAGCTCCACAATGGGCTTTCGGAGTTCAACATTGAGGTTTCTGCTTCGCGGGGCAGTTTTGTTTTCTCAGCAAAGAATTATATGAATTCTACATATTTTTTTATGTTTCATAGAATTCAATTCGCCACAATCTCTCTCTGAATCGTTATTTCATCAAAGTACCACGTTCACAGGAAGAACCAGGCAAAGGCTCCTTCTGGAGGATAGACCCTGCCTCTGAGAGCAAATTGATAGAGCAGGCTTTTAGGAAAAGACGGCCTAGGGGCGTGCCTTGCTTTAGAACCCCTCTGGGACCGCTCTCTTCTAGGTAAGGACAAAAGGAGCCACAGGCCCTCAACTTGGTCAGTAAATGCACCTTCCATGTGTGGTAAAGTTTCCTTCTGCAAATGAGGGAGCCGCCAGATGTGTGTGGTTGATTGTTGGGATTGGGATTTGGAAAATGTTGGATGCTTCCCTTGTGCTTTGTTCCTAGTGGCCCGAGACCTTTGAGATGGTAAGGTTTCCTTACCCTCCCCAGAACTCCCGTAATCAGATCTGCTTCCTCTGGTCGGCCACTTAATGCAGCCGTGTGAAGGCCTCTTTGCTTTACATGGGAGTAGTTCTTCAAAGCTGGCTTTTACCTGCTTAAACTCAAGATTGTTAATTTGCCTTAGTCTAAAGTCACACCTTTTTAGCTTCACTACCTCGTTTTTAACCAAAAAAAGGGTAAGCATGAGCCTTAAGCCCCTGTGAGCTAGCCTACACCCCACCCCTCCATCGGACTGCTCAGGACCTGCTCAGATGGCAGTGAGCCCCACCCTGGGTGCACAGCCTCTGCCACAGTGACATGCAGGGAGGTGGCTCGAGGCTGCAGGCCGCCCCTTTGCAGAGTGAGCATGCACAGCAGCAAGCCCTCTCCGATGTCTCACTGAAAACCGCGTTCTTCTCTTGGTGACACAGGAGTGCCCCTGCCTCTCCCAACCACGCAGGCGTGCTCTCTGCTCACTCCAGTGGCGCCCAGACCCCCGAGAGCCTGTCACGGGAAGGCTCTCCGGCCCCTCTGGAGCCTGAGCCCAGCGCCTCCCAGCCCAAACTCGCTGTCATCCAGGAGGCCCGGTTTGCCCAGAGTGCGCCAGGTGAGCACTGCTGGTGAGGGTGGGTGGGTGGGGCTGCCCAGAGGCCCTGTACCCCACACTTTCCACTTAGGTACGCTGTGGGTTAGGAAAGCCAATAGCATTGTCAGGGTTTTAAAATGCCAGTGAATGTTTTTTAGATAACACTGGATACAGATGCCAAAGTAATGTAGAATTCATCTGCTTCTCGGTTAGTTGCTTCACTGTTCAAAAAGTCGTGTAAATGACCCCATCCTCCCAGAAAATTCACAAATGACAAAAACTAGACACTCATTGGAAGCAGAATGACTAGGTGAACACGTCACAGTTTACTTACAAGTCATAATTAGAATGAAAGTGTGTGTCCTGGAGAAATAAAGAAATATGTAGTGCAAAAATGTGCCCAGACTAATGCCGTGCTGTGGCTGGGATCCCTGCTTTGCTGGCCCCGGGGGCACCCGCACCCTCCCAGCCCCATCTCCCGCCTCTGTTGTGTTCCTTCAGTCTGAGGCCCTGGCCAGAAGGGCCAGGGACTTCATGACAGCCTGGAGTCAAGATGGGAGCACTCTGCATCATTCCTTGTTGTGAGGATGTTGGTCCCAGCTATGCCTGGCCATCTCGGGATGGCTTCCTCTCTGTGGAGTAGGGTCGTTTTCGTGGAAGAAGTGTCAGAAATCCAAACAGAGCAGAGCTTGCATTTTTAACAATTAGATGTAGGAATTAAACATCCCTATTAAGATACTACAAGTTTCTTACACGGTGAAATGGGCCATATTGCATATTTTAAATTAGAACATACATGTTAGCCAGTGCTCAGTGTATAGACTTTGTTCCCATGAAGGACATGTGAGCCCAGCATGCTCCTGTCTCTCTCCACAGGGTCGCCTCTTTCTAGTCAGCCCGTCTTAATCACTGTGCAGCGGCAGCTACCCCCGGCCATGAAGCCCGTCACCTACACTGTTGCCACCCCTGTGACCACCGCCACCTCCCAGCCACCTGTTGTGCAGACGGTCCACGTTGTCCACCAGATACCAGCTGTGTCCGTAACCAGTGTGGCTGGACTGGCCCCAGCAAACACATACACAGTTGCTGGACAAGCCGTGGTCACTCAGGCAGCAGTGCTGGCCCCTTCTAAGGCAGAGCCACATGAGAATGGAGAGCACAGAGAGGTCAAAGGTGAGCATGGGAGGACAGGATGGGGCTGTGGATGGGGACAGAGCAGCACAGAGCTGGCACCTGGTAGAAGAAAGGCCACAGGATGCTTCTTTCTAACCCTATTCTGTGAATTGACTTGCTTTTAAAGACATTTTTTTGTTTGTTTTTGGGTTTGTGGGGGGGCACCGGGAATTGAACTCATGACCTTGGCCTTGCCAGGCAAGCACTTACGCCACTGAGCTATATCCCCAGCCCATTAAAGACATTTTATAACAAGTCTAGAGCCATCTGATTTTTTATTTTGTCTTTTTGAGACAGGGTTTCATTCTGCAGTTCAGGGTGGCCTTGAATTCACTTTGTAGCCCAGGCTGACCTCAAGCTCGAAGCAATCCTCCTGCCTCAGCCTCCAGAGTGCTGGGATTATAGGCGTGTGCCACCATACCAAGCCTAGACCCATCTGATTTTTGTTTTCTTTTCGGGGGGAGTGGTACTCAAATTGAACTGAGGACTTTGCACTTGCCAGGCAGGCACTTGTACCGGTGAGCTACATCCCTGATGAGCCATCTGATTTCTACAGTTTAGATTGGTGAGATTTTTATCAGCTTTCCCAAAATACTAGTTGGTGCCATCTCTTTTCATTTCAGTGAAAGTAGAACCTGTTCCTGCAATTAGCCACGCCACGCTGGGCACCACCAGCCGGGTGATTCAGACGTCCCAGGCCACCCCTGTCCAGACGGTCACCATAGTACAACAGGCACCTCTCGGCCAACACCAGCTTCCAATCAAAACTGTCACACAGAATGGGACTCATGTGGTGCCGGTCCCCACTGCCGTACACGGCCAGGTGAACAACGGTAAGCAGTGCCGTCTGGGCAGTGCCATCATGGCCTTCCTGGGAACAGGTCCTGTGCTACTCGCAAGCAGGTGCCTGCTGTGCTCCAGTTCTGACTCAGCTCTGATGTTCTGTGGAAGTGCTCGTGCTTCTAAGCTGTAGCAAATGCAGTCACATAGGAACTAGCAGCTCCTAGGGAAGTGGCTGCTGTGGGACTCCAGCTGGGGGCCCTCTGTAGATGCCCATGTACAGCATAGGAGTGGCCTGAAATCATCGGGTACATGGTTCTCCCTGTGGGGTGCACTACCAAGAGTTCCTGACAGTGCAGGGAGAAAGGGTGCTTTCCTGTGCTCCTTGATCCAAACACCTTTTGGAGACGCATGAACAGAAGAAACGCTGCCAGTATTCTCCAGAGACCTGTGGAGGTGTCAGAACCCTAGCCTTGGGCGTGCCTGGTGGAGCTTGCTGGGGAGCCCTGGCTGTCATTGAGCCTAGCCACAAGTGCAGGGTCCCCAGGCTTATGCTGTACAGGCATGTCAGGTTTTAGGGTGGCTTCATGGCAGAGCACTTGCCTGTGTGAGGCCACTGGGTCGGACCCCAGCACTGCACTTGAAATCAAAGGCATTTACACTTCTGAGAGTGCCGGCTGCGTTGTGTGGTACCACAGCTGCCCATGCTAGTGCCTGCCAGGCTGCAGCGTAGTCAGAAGCTTCCAGCCTCAGCAGGCCCGCTGAGGCCACAGGTCAGAATGCTTGACACTGGTCAGAATCTTGTGAGTGTGAACTGACAGAGACAGCAACCTCTGTGTTTAACCTCACCACCGCTCCTCCCCAGGTGTAATGGAGCCTTTGCAGGGGAAGCGGACAGCCTGAGTGTTTAGGCCATGGCCCACTTGCCCCTGTCTCTGGCACATTGCAGGACTCCCAGTGCACTGCTGTTGGGAATGTCCACATCATGAAGCCCTGTGTCCATCAGTTTCTAGAGCTGCTCAGGCCTGGTGCCTGCTCCTGAGCAGCTCCAAGGTTATGCACAGCCTAAAGTGACCTGGGGACTCTGCTGCCTGCTCCATGACAGGCACACTGGAGATGCCCAGATGTGGAGTGTGTCTGGTGCAGAAGGCCCCAGAACCCAGTAAGCCAGCTCCCCCATGTGTGTGGATCCGGCGGGGCCAGCAGCAACAGGGTGTTGTTTTTCATGTACATGGCACCTGCCAGCTCACTCGATCAGCTCCAGTCTTGCGTGTCGCCCTCAGGTGCTTCTGCACTGTGGCCTTCACATGTTAGATTTGTAAAGGTTTCTGTTACAAATGAAAGCAAGAGATTTAACTTTTCACTGTGGATGTTGAAAATAAAAGTCTGGCCACGCACCTTGGATGTGGCGCAGCCTGATGCCCACTGACTGCCTGATAAACACAGACGGGAACACGGCACCCAGGCTGTCTCTTCTGTGTCTGTTCCTGAGGCCTCAGCAGTGTTTACTAACCCTGGCTCTTCACTGACAAAAGAGACAGAATGGTAAAAGACTTGATTGCTTTATCATTACTACAGAAATGAGCAAAGCCGAAAGCACAATTCTCTCTAAGCAAACTTTTTTTTTTTTTTTTGGTACTAGGAATTGAACTCACGACCTCCTGCTTGCCAGGTAGATGCTGTGCCACTGAGCTATATCCCCAGCCTGCAAAAACTTTTTGAGAAAAAAATTACGTTTACAAATTTTTCTATTCTTAGCATAAATTTTAATGCTTTCCATTAGAACCACAACCTCCTGAATGCCCTTGGTATCAGCCGAACTCAGGTTCTGTTTCTGGGTTAACCAGTCACATCGTACAGAAGCTATGCATTTTGGTCACTGCTTTTTTTGTTTTCCAACACTCATACCAATCCTAGGATCTCGCATGATAGGCAAGTGCTCTACCACTGAGCTAAATCACCACTACTTTTACTTTTGAGACTGCATCTCCTTAAGTTGCCCAGGCTAATCTTGACCTTGTGGTTCTCCTGCCTCAGCCTCCTGAGTAGCAAGTGTGTACCACTACACCTGGCTCTTTCACCCTTCTGGCAGCAAACATGTTTTGCCCAAATTATACAGCACAACATTAGCATCTGCTCTGGGGCCTGCACTGTGACACCAGCTGCCTGCGCTAGAAGGAGACACTCTCCGATTCCTTTCTCCACCTCTGGCACTGGACAAAGCAGGCTGGTGGCTGCCTGCCAGGTCAGTGGCTGGTGTCATGGCAGCAGCAGGCCTAGGGCTTTCCTGTCATCCATGCTGAGTCCCGTTCCCACTCAGGAGGAGGAAGGGCAAAAGCACCTATTGTATGTCAGAAGCCATTCGGTGGTCTGCTGGTAACTGCCTCTTCAGTGTGACCAAAACCTGCCTTAGGAGCCTAGGACATTTTTCTCTCAGAAGTCATGGTTCTAGTTCACACCACCGGTATTGGTAGTTACTCCTCTGCTCCTGCTCGTGCTTGTGGGGACAGCCGAGGCTGTTGGCTCTCTGGAGGGGTGGGGGGCCAGCGGGCTCCCAGAGAGATCTGGTGGCCAAATCGACCAGAGGTAGTGTCCTTGAGGCAGGAGCAGGAGTTGTGTGATGTTGGGGACTCTGACCTCCATCACTCCTGAGAGCGCTCTGAAAGCACTCTCCCTGATTGTGAATTAGAAGCTCATCCTACTCCCTCCCTCCCTTTCTTTCTCTCTTTTTTCCTCCCTCCCTCCCTGTCTTCCTTCCTTTTTCTCTTTTTTCTCCTGTGCTAGGGATCTAATAACCCAAGCTAGGCAGGCATCTGGCACTGACCCACTCTCCAGCCCTTTTATAAGCTTTTCGTTACAAAAAAGATAAAGCATTTTGCAAAAATCAACCCATAGCCAGGCTTGTCTCGGTTTCTCTCCCTCTGCTTACCACTCATCTCTCCAAGATATAGATGATCTTTATAATGAGCAAAATGCTGCTATAGAACCTTAAAACTTAACAGCAATTCCTTTATAGCCTATGTCTTATTGTAGTTCAAATAATCAATTCTGTCTTTCTGGTTCTGTGTGGTAAAATACCCAGAAAGTGTGTGTCCCCCGTCCTCCTCTCTGGGATTAAAAGGCCTTTGCACTGAACAACACCCCTAGCCCTTTCTGTGTTTTCATTCTGAGACAAGGTTTTCGGAAGTTGCCTAGACTGTGCTTGAATTTGCAGTTGTCCTGCTTCAGCTTCCCAGAGTGAAGCTTACCTTCTTAAAGTGAACAGTTCTGTGGCATTGAGCATATTCGTACTGTTTAAAACCACCACTTCTGTCTAGTTCAGAATCATTTCATCATTCCAGAAAGAAACGCCGTGCCCCTGGAGCAGGGTACTGGGTGTCTCACCTTCACGGCATGTGGTCTTCTCGTCGCTCCTTTCACTGAGCACACTCAGCGTGCTGGGCTCCTCTGTCAGGGCGCTGTTCAGGCTTTGCGCCGTTTCCTAGCCGGATGTCCTGTGCTCAGTGCCTCCCTGATTGTTCATTCAGCGGCCAGTGGACTTCTAGCTCTGTCTGCCTCTCAGCTCTCTCTCGGCAGACTGTTGCGTGCACACTTGCGTGCACATGTGTTGAGCTCCTGCTTTCATTTCTTTTGGGTGTACACCTAGGAGTGCAATCCCTGTGTCATGACAGTTCTGTTTCATTTGTTGAGAAATCATCAAACTGTTGCCCACGCCACAGAACTGTTTTCGGGATTCCTGCCAGCAGTGTGAGGCGCCCCTCGGAGTGCAGCGTCCCTTCGTGGGCTCCACTTGTCCTGGGTCTCTGGAGAGGATGGCTGTGCCTGCATCTGTATGGCAGAGACAGTTACGTTCGTCACCCGATGCAGAGTTCACAAACAAAAACAAAATGTTGACAACCACTCGTGAACAGAGGCACTGCTATTTCCTTCCTTTCTTTCTGACTTGAGTGAAGTGCTGTCTCATGGTAGATGAGGTTGTTTTGAGACAGAATCTCTCTGTATAGTTCAGGTGGCCTTAAATTTCAGGTGATCCTCCTGCTTCAGCCTCGAGTGTTGAGATTACAGGGGTGTCACCACACCTGGCTTGTATGGTAGTTTTGACTCGCATTTCTGTAATGACTAATGAGGATGGGCATCTTTTCATGTGATTGTTGGTTATTTGTGTATCTTCCCTGAAGAAATGTGTATTTAAGTCCTTTGTTTTGTGTGTGTTCGAATCCAGGATTTTAATTGGATTGTCCCTTGCCAGCATGGGCTGGAGGGTTGCAGGACTTTGTGACCCTGGTGGTACGCGTCATCAAGAGGAGTCTCCCAGGCCCATCACTGACTAGGGGCTGGCTCCCTGTGCAATCTGGGACTTGCCTTTACCTCCCCATGTCAGCTCCCTGGGCTGTGCAGGACCCCTGGGTGGCTCCACAAATCTTTGTATAGCATGGCATTGGCTGGGCTTGCACATGGCCCTGGCAGAGGAGCCCTGCCAGCCTGAAGCCATAAGGGTTGTGCAGACCCAGGGCTCTGGCCCCTCGCCTCCCATTCTGCAGTAGTTCTGTGGTCACGGTCTTGGGGCAGGGGCAAGAGGAAGGCCCTTGACTTGCTGCAGGTTCTAGTGCATCCTGGCAATGCCCTGTGTGCTGTGTCCCCTTCCTGCCTGTGCTGCATGTGAGGGGCAAGGCTGTGGCAGAAGGAGCCCCATGGGGTGCTATCTCTGCTCCTCAGTGGCAGCAGATATACCCTAACTCCCCTGTCCACACCCAACCCTGCCCACATAACCTGCCCAAAGTTTACTGGAAGGAGGCAGAGCAAGTGCTGCTTGGCCAGAAAGACCATCCTGGAGCAGCCCCACTGCTGGGCTGCAGTGCAGGTACCAGGCCGCCTGCCGCCTCGGCCCCCAGCTACTGTGTGACCTCCAGCACATGGCTGCTCCCAGGGCCTAGTGCCTTGCTGCGCACACACTGGTTTCATCCTTGCCAGTTCATGTATACACAGTTCATGGTATTCGTGACCACAGTGGGCCTGCTGGCTGTTCCCTGGCACATGGGCAGCAGAATGTATGCACTCTGCAGCTGAGGTGGAGCTGGGTGATGCCTGGGCACCTTGTGCAGCCGCACAGGAAGCCATTGTGCTATCAGTGGCTCTCACAGCCAGGTGGAGCCAGGGTGGGATTCTGCGTGTGCTTTCATCAGCTGTACGGATCCGCTTACAGATCCGCTGAAGATCTGGTATCCTCTTAAGTTGAGCTTCCTTGCCAAAGACACAGGAGAATCAAGTGCTAAGTGGCCTTCCTTTGTGGTTCTGTGGCTCCGCACAGAGAAGCTGCTCTTCCCATGGCACTGCCTTGGCTCTGTGCCATAAACCCTCATGGTAGGCATCGTTTTCCTCTAGGGCCCCAGGCATGGCACTGATTCCCCCGCCCCCCTGCCACATTGTCCTGTGAGGTGCTGCAGCAGAGGTCCCACCTCCCAGGAGTGGCGCATGCTGGCTGCTGCAGCGCAGTTCCTGTCTCAGTTGGAACCCTCCCTATACCTCAGCCGGCCCTGGAGGGCGGTGCTGCCCCAGCAGAGGTGGGGAGCCAGTGTGTGCCCTGGGTGTAGGGCCAGACCAGTGGCCATGCACCTGCTGAGTGGTCAGTTGAAAGGTATGGGCAGGCCTAAAGGTCAGGTCTCACTTTTCGTGACATCCCTTCGGATGATACACTCAGCCCACAGCAGAGTTTGCTCCTCCCCAGCCTGCAGCTCCCCTGCACTTGGCTTGGAGTGGTAGGGACATCCCAGTGCCTGTGTGGAGATGCCCCTCCAGCCCACTGGTTCTCAGGGCTGTCACAAGTTTTGGCCCAAGATGTGGTGTCCTCTGGCTTCAATTGTTCTGACCTCGATCCTGCGCATCCTGGGTCCTCTGCCCTGTGTGCAAGTTTTAGACTTCTTGCTCAGAAGCTGCTGGCATGCAGCTGGGATGGAGCTGAGTCCAGGGGCAGTGTGGGCAGAGCTGTGTCTGCACAGTGTTGACTGTGCAGAGACTCCCCCACAGACCTCTCTTTCTTGAGGTCTCAGTTTGTCTTGTTCTGCATAACCTCCCCCATGCACTTGGCGTCCTCTGCCTCTGTGCCTGTGAGTTGTGTTAAGACCAGAGTCCTCAGCCTCATGACACCCCAAACCTAACACAGCAGGCAGGCTTGGGGGCCTCAGGCGCAGGGCTGGAGCCAAGTGGGGGCCTGCACATCCCCAGGGGTGCATAGCTTTAGGCCTTGTGCATCCTCTACAGGCAGGACCAGCTGTCCAGGTACAACTGAACCCCACCGCTCATAAGGGGGCAGCTTCCCAATCAGCTGTGACCGCCTTGATCCCACCCACCCCACCCCCAGGTGTGCTGCATGGGAGGGGGCCAGGCAGGGCCACATGGGCGGGCTGTAGCTGTGTGGGTTGGGTGGGCTATGCTGGGTGGGTGGAGCCTATGCCCAGAGTTGTCCAGGCAAGATTCGGGTGCCACAGGAAGAGGCTGGAGACCTGAGCCACAGTTCTCGGTGCTGTGTACCAAGCCAGTGTCTGGGATAACCAAGCGGCCAGAAGAGCTGAGGGCACAGGTGGGCCTGCTGGCCTCTGCTGCTCTGTGGCTGTCTGTGCAGCCGTGGTGAGCAGGCAGCGCCCCAGCCTGGATGCCTCCACCCAACCGGGCTGCTCTGTCTTGGGTTCTTTCCCTTCCCTTTCCCTGGTAGGAGGTGGTGCAGACCCAGAGAGGACCCGAGGTGCCTCCATGCGGCCCCTCCCCTGTGAGCCTGACATATCCCAGAAACAGCAATGTCTGTGGAGATGGCCAGGCTCAAGTGCACTGGGGACAGAATTCCCCTGGCTCTGCTGGGAGGTCCGGGGGGCCATGCACGTGCACCCACATGTGAGGTCTGGGCTGGCAGAGCTGGGCGTGTTGCCACTGAGCCAGAGACTGTACCTGGCAGATTTCCTTTCTTCCTGGGGGCCTCCGTCCTCTGTGCTGCTCCTTGCATGGGTTGGGCAAGGCCTGCCTGGCTGTGGAAGGCAGTCTGCTGTTCTCAGTGTGCACTGACTTAAATGTTGACCTCATCTAAGCATTAGCTGCACAGGAACCCCCAGGGAGGTCTTGACCAGCATCTGTGGCCAGCCGGGGTCCCTCAGACTTTGCTGCCCCGTCTCTGACAGCAGCTTGGCCTCCGAGGTTGCTGTGGTGGACAGGCTGTAGGGGCTCCCCACGCCCTTGCTCTGCACTCCAAGCCCACCCAGGCATGCAGAGCTGGCCACCTCGCAGGCCCAACAGCCCTGCGTCCTGCTCCGGGGGCCTCGCTGTGGGGGGTGTGAGTGGCCCCCATGCAGGGGCTGGGGACAGCCTCCCTGTGTGTCTGGACATTGGCTGAACTCTGAGGAGCCAGCAGTAGTGGAAAAGAGCTTTCGGAAGCAACAAAAACAGCAGTTGTTAATAACCCGGCACACCAGATGTCACCAACCTGCTGCAGCATGGGTCCCGTGGCCCAGCCCAGACCCTGCTGTCCCTGGCCACCAGAGGCTGTCCCAGGGTCCTTGTGGGTGGCCCCGGGGATGGAGGGCTCCCCACCATGCAGGGTCTGACTCGCCGTCTCTTTTCAGCAGCGGCCAGCCCTCTGCACATGTTGGCGACCCACGCGTCAGCCTCAGCTTCCCTGCCCACAAAGCGACAGAATGGTGACCAGGCTGAGCAGCCGGAGCTGAAGCGGATCAAGACGGAAGATGGCGAGAGCATTGTCATTGCCCTGAGTGTGGACGCGCCCCCGGCGACGGTGAGGGAATAGGGTCCAGAGCCAGTGGCCGGGAGAGCTTTGCTCACGTATAACATCAACCTCGTGGTGCCAAAAGGAGACGTTGCCTCTCACCGACTCCGCCAGGCTCGGTGGGAGGAGCCCTGTGGTTAGACTGTGCCTCTGAGCACCGGACACAAACCCAGGCGGCCTTAACGCTCCTCACCCCCGACAGCAGGCGCACCCTGGCTCCTGGGCGCCCGCTCCCTGCGGCTCCACAGTGGAAGTGTCCAGTCCCTCCCAGAGGCCAAGCTGCGCCCCTGATGACACAGCTGGTCATCCTGTGGGGACAACACCGAGCCACCCTGCTGCCCCCACAGGACCGCACGGGCGGCTGGGAGGCAGGACAGCTGAGGTGTACTTGCTTCCAGAACAGTGGGATCTTTGCCGATTCCCATCACTCCGTTCTGCTCTGGGAAGTTTGGATCACAGGACCCTGCATCTGGATTCATTGTGGTTAGCAGCAGTTCCGTCATTTTGTTCATTTCTGTGGTGGGTTCGGCCCTGGACGGTTCCCATGCTCCCCCGCTGGGCTGCCACACCCATCAGCGTAGGAGCCGCGGCCTGTGAACGGAGGGCCGGGGCTGTGAGGACCGCGCACAGACGGGCGGCTGTGCGCTTGCTGGCTCTCGTTTCTTTCTTTATGTTGGCTTTGTCCCTGGCCTCATTTCCACCCTGACTGAGTAAAACAAGTCTCCTAAGTGTTGTGTGTGCTTAAGCAACAGGACCCTGACTCCCTCAGAGAGAGATTCTGTCTTTTATCACCCACCCTTTTGGGCACAGATCACAGATCCCAGATCCACCGCAGCCGCGGTGCATGTGGCACTTGCTCCCTGCAGGGAGCCGGGAGGTCGTTTCCAAGCTGCAGCAGGAAGTTTCCCCGACCTTCCAGAACCGAGCCCAACACTAAGGCCGGCTTCCCTCCTTCGGGAAGGGGCCGGAGGAGTGGGAGCAGGCGGAGAGCCGAGGCCCCGGCCTGGCCCCTCGCAGGCAGCCACGCGCCTCCGCAGGGCTCTCGAGCTGGCCGTGCAGCTGCGCATCCAGGGCTGCAGCCTTATTGTGAATTTTTTAATGTCATCATCATAGTGTTATTTATTTAAATGTAGTTGCTTTGGTATTTAAGTTTTTTTTTTTTTTAAGAGAGGAAAAAACCCTGTATTTTCCTGATGGAATGAAATGGCTCAGAATGGTATATTTAGGCAATTAAAAAACATTTATTATTTACATAAAGACCAAATATGATAAAACTGTTCTAAGTATTGTGTGTCACCTGTCTCGAGCTGTCACAGTGTATTGCAGATGATGCGTGTGAATCACGGGGTCACTGCGAACTGCTGGATTTATAACTCAGCCATGTGGAAATAAAAGTGAGACATCCTATGCGTGAGCCGTGTGTGTGACACTAGCACGCAGCCTCTGCGGAGTCATGGCCTTCGCCTGCCCCACAGCAGCCCGAGTCCTCCAGGCCTGAGACTGAGGCCTGGGGTGTCCTGTCTTCACCTTCGGAAGCTCTGCATTTACGGGAGCACTTGGACTGAACGGCAACCGCACAGGGCCTGGATCTGCGGGGCTCAGGTGACCCCAGGCAGAGCGCTGCATGTCCTAGAGCTGCTTCCATGGGGCAGCAGGACCTGGTGACTCCTTAACATGAGCTGTCTGCATGCTGAGCCCCCCGATAGGCCTCGGGGTGCTGCCAGGGTCCTTGGTGAAAAGAGTCCAAGCCTCCAATGCAGGGGGAACAAGGAGCTTTGCTTGACGGCGGCCTTCTCAGTGTGAGCCTCGCCGGCGGTGTGAGCTCCTCTTCTCTCCCTCTCTCTGGCACGTAGGAATTTAAGGCTGTCCCGAAGCAGGTAGAAACTGAACCCCAGGTTAGCAAGCACCTGTGCCCAGGTTTTCCTTCCACCTTTAGGGCTTTGTAAATTCCATGTGGCTCTGAGTCCCCAGGAGCCTGCTGCTGGCAAGGTTGGCCCCTTGGGCCCAGGTGAGTCACAGGGTGCCCAGCCGTCCACAGTGGCTCCTCAGCATCTTTCCCAAGAGGTCTCTGACCTTCGCAACCTTCTGAGCTCCCTCAAGGACTAGAAACTTTAATGTCAGCATCTCTGCCCTGAACCTGCAAAGGACAGAGGGAGAGAGGCCGCCTGTGACCCAGACCCAGATGTGCAGGAGGCCTGGCCCTGAGTGGCCCTTCCGCTGGCTGCTCTGCTGCAGCTGTGGGGGCCAGTGTACGAGAGACCACTGCGCAGCCTGGGCCTCTGCTGTCAGTGCGCGGAGGATGATGTATGTGCAGAGATGTGAAATTTTAAAAAAGTACCAAGTTCCTGAAATTCAATAAAATATTTTTATTAATTTTAATTGAATCCCGAGTATCACTGTCATTTTGGTGAGCCTGGGCATTCCTGCTTGACCTTTGTGCACTCCTGAGGGCGCCGAGCGGCATGGGAGAGGCGCAGGGTGCCGGCAGTGACCCTGTCTGCTGCGTTGGCGCTGTCGCTGCCTCTCCTGCGGACTGGCTCTCCGACCCGAGGGCCAGAGTTGCTGTGGACAACTGGAGAGGGAGTGCAGATCTCCAAATGCTACAGTGGGTTTGAGGCCCAGACGGACTCGAGTACTTCCTGCCGTGCTGTCTGTGCCGGATGCTGCTGTCTGAGGCTCCCCCAGCCCCTCGGTCCAGCCAGGTGCACAGAGCCCTGCAGTCAATAGGGTATGGGCTGAGGAGGAAGAGCCCCCCCCCCGCCCACTCACTCACCTGCCTTGAACAGTGGCTGCCAGCTCCAGCTAAGGATACCATGCTCCATCTGGTGCTGTGTTGGCGGTGGCATTAGGAGGTGCTGGAAAATCTGTTGCTAGGTTCACTGCTGTGGTGACACCGGGCAGAGCCACAGGCACAAGAGGCGACAGCTCCTTCATGGGACCTGGGGCGAGAACCTGCAGCCTCCGCTAGTGGGGAGTCTGGACCAGTGTGGGGTGGAAGGAACCACAGCTTTTGAGAACTATGCTGGGCTCTGGACAAACAGGTCACGCGGCTGTGCTGCTGCTGTGAGCACCTCCACAGACCCTGGCGGGTTGGAGAGGTCTCAGCGCAGCAGATGCTGCAGGCACTCGGACCTGCGCACTTCCACTGTCAGTGTGCAGACAGGGTCTGCAGGCAAGTGAGTGGTTTTAGCTCACAGGGAGTTGGAAATCTGGATCCCTGGTACAACAATGTGTCTGGCATTTCCTGGGTTTCCCGGCCTGCGTGGCACTGCCCGATACAGGTGAAGGCACTGGTCCCAGAGGGATGCCTGGGAAACAGCCACAGGCATCCTGTGGCTGGGGGCAACACCCAACTCAGGGACCCTTACTCCTCGAGGAGCGGGGTCTGGGGCGCTGGAGGCCAGGAGAGTGTAGGACCCAATTGCTGTCACTGATTGTGGGGTCCCAAACTGGACAGGTGGAGCACCAGGCACACACGGTGTGCCTCCTGCCTCAGCCCGCCGAGTGCTAGGATTACAGGCATGCCCATGCCCAGCAACTTTTTTTTGGGGGGGGGGTTTCCAGTAGCCGGAATCGAAGATCTAAAATCATCTAAATTTTATGTCTAAATTAAATTTTAAATTTTCACTTTAGCAAGGAACAAACTAAATCCAGAAGAGTCAACACTGAAAAAAGAAATAGGTAAAATTGAGGGAATAAAATCACCGAAATTAAAATTAAAGTTGCTTCTGTGGAAAAAAAAAAAAAAATCACTAGCCAGAATGACCAAGGGAAGAGGGCACACATGAGCATCAGGACTACTCTGAGAGTGGCCTGAGAGAGACTTGGGTGTCCACTGTGAACAGCGGACTCCCCAGGACTGGCAGTGTCTTGTCCCTGGTAAACAAGAAGCAAAGTTCAATAAACAATAAAAAGTTTAATGTGGGGCTAAGTTCGCCTTTCAGTGCCCTGACGCCAGCTCTGTGTATCAACCTGCGCTGATTGCCCTACAGCCTTAAACACAAACATTTCATCCAGATTCCTTGAGTTTCCTTAAAATTACATCCCCAACCTTAAAACCTATCTATACTCAGTCCCCCTTAGATATTCACTGCTATCCTCTGATGTCAGCCTGCCTGTAGGCAGAGGAATAAAATCGGATCTTCCCCACAGCGTCAGGCTCTGGGTGGCTTCTCATGCTCTGTTATTAACAGTGATCAACACCAGAAATCAGAGACTGGGGCAAATGCCGTCATCCCAAACTGGGCGTAGGGGTGCACACCTGTAATCCTGGCACTCTGGGAGGCTGAGGCAGGAGGATTGCTGTGAGGTCAAGGCCAACTCCCAAACAAGAGCTCCCATTGTTCTGATCAGCCACTTCTCCCTGCTGTGACCAGCAGGCTCCTCTGAGACCAGAGCGGGAGACCGGAGGACTCTGGAAGCCACGCAGAACTCGAGGGGCTGCAGAAGGCAGGCTTTCAGTGTAGTGGCCTTGTCTACTGGCCTGCAGGGGACAGAGGGTGAGGGGACCCGCCTGGATGTGACCACGAGGGCTGCTCCAGTCCCCCCCCCCGCCGATTTCGGCTGGGCCACTGTGGGGGGTGTGAAACACAGCCCCAGGGCAGAGCAGCTGCATGAAAAATGGGTCCCTGGGCCCCACAGGCCCAAAGGACAGATGAATCTGTACAGGAAGGACACGAGGTGTGTTTGTTCAAGAAACTCACTCGTGACGTGGAGCCTCCCGCAGAGATCAGAACACTGCTATGGAGTGTGGGGCAGGAACCTGGGAGTGGACTCTGCCCAGACAGCTGTGGGCTGGAGACACGTGTGTGCTACCCCTACTTGCCCTGTAGCCAGGGCCAGTGCCTGGGGGCCTGGGGGACCTACATTACCTCACCCCACCTGCCAAGAGCCTTGCAGTGGCATGGGCCAAGGGATTTGATGGAGTGTGGTTTTTGAGGCAGGGTCTCACTGTGCAGCTCAGGCTGGCCTCAAACTTGCAGTGACTGGCCTGCCTCAGCAGTTGTGTGCCACCACACCTGGACCTCGAGGGGATTTTAAAAACATAGAACACCTTAAAAAACACTACTGGATCTAAGCATTTAAGGAAATCTCTAGCAAAATATCAAGTTAGCACGACCTGAAAGATGCAGTGGCTACATATGACAAAGGACATAATCTTTGCAGAAGTGTGTGATTATCAGCCTTCATCTGATAACAGCCAGCCCCAGGGACGACAGAAGATCTGACTTCCAACAAACCTGTAAAACGCAGGCTGGCTTGAACTTGTGATCCTCCTGCCTCAGCCTCCCAAACAGCTGGGATTACAGGCATGCACCACTACTTTTGGTTTTGGGGTAAATCTTCATGCCTTCATATTTGGCAATAGATTCTTTTTTTTTTTTTTGGTTTTTCTCCGGTACCGGGAACCAAACTCACGACCTTGCACTTGCCAGGCAAGCGCTTTTGCCGCTGAGCTAAATCCCCAGCCCCTGGCAATAGATTCTTATATTTTACATGAAAAGCATGAAGAAAAAAGATAAATTGAGCTTCACAAAATTAAAAAACTTGTGCCTCAAAGGACATTATCAAGAAGGTGAAAAAACCATCTACAGAATGGGAGAAAGTACTTGCAAATCATGTTAGTGTCTATAGCTCAAGAAACAACCTAGCTTAAAAATGAGAAAATAAACCACGCATGGTAGCACATGCCCATAATCCCAGCACTCAGGAGGCTGAAGCAGGAAGATTTCTGTGAGTTTGAGGCCAGCCTGGGCTACATAGTAAGGTCAAGGCCAGGCTGCGGGGAGCGGGGGCAGAAACCAGCCTGTACTACATATTGAAACACTGTCTCAACAAAAAAAAAAAAAAAAAAAGAAAAAGAAAGAAAAAATAAACTGAGTATAGTGGCACCACCTATAATCCTAGCTATTTGAGAGGCTGAGGCAGGAGCAGCAAAAGTTGGAAGTTGCAGACCAGCTGTGTTGCTCCTGGTAGAGCACCCCTGGCCTCAATCCCCAGTCCCAGAGACAGAGGGAGAGAGAGGATGTGAAAACCCGGCTCACCTACAACTTGGATGAACTTTTTTTTTTTTTTTAACTTGGATGAACTTTGAACTCATTATTCTGTGACTAAACAAGACACAAAAGCAAAAGTACTATGTGATCCCATTTATGTGAAGTATGGAGTCCACCGAGGCAACAAAATACAAGCTACTAAGAGCTGAGCAGGGGGAGAAGGTGAATTAGGTGGTACTAGGGATTGAACCCACGGCCTTCACACTGATCTACATTCCCAGATCTCTATATTTTATTTTGAATCAGGCTTTCACTAAGTTTCTCAGATTGCGCTCCAACTTGTGACCATCCTGCCTCAGCCTTGGGAGTGCTGGGATGACAGGCATGCACCACACCCGGCCTGAATTCGAGTTTAATGGGTATGGAGTTTCTATTAGGAAGTGAAAGTTCTGGAGCCGGGCAGCAAGTAGGACGCACCTGCACTGACACTTCCAGCTTCTTTAAAAGGCAGGTTCCCTGTGTGTTAGCACAGACCTGCTGCAGTGGCCGCAGACCTGCTGCATGGCCGGCAGCATCTGAGAAGACACCCGCATCACTGATCCTTAAGGACACTGCAGTAGGGTCATGTGAGGCCCCATGTGGCGGGGACCGCTGTGGCCATGGGAGTGGAGATACCTAAGGGCTGCGGAAGCAGCGCTGCAGGAGGGCAGGGTCTCAGAGCCTCAGAGAGCTGAAGCAAATGCCTTCCTGCCCTCTGGTGAATCAGAACCATCCCCACAGCGCGCATGCGTGGACCTGCGCCCGCATCACCCTCCTGGAGGGAATTCACCACCTGTGGATTAGGGTGGCTGCCATGGCTGTGGCCAGCATGTGACCGGCCCGACACAGCAAGAGACAAGGCACCCTGCAGCTGCATGGCAACTGCCACGGCCTGTGACGGCTGCATGGTTTCTCAGTGGGCTGAGGCTGTTTCCTGGGCGTGCAGGTGCTCATCAGGACAGTAGTGGCCACACAGTGCTGGGTGCTCGCTGCTGTGTCAATGTGCGCTTCAGGCAGCAACCCACTTTCCAGGTCCCCATCTGTCTCTCAGGAGCTGTCACTCACTCCCATTTCTCACTCAAAAAGTGCATGCACTTCGGGATGAGCAACTGCATGTTACATGAACTTCCTCCTAAGAGGAAAAGACCTATAAATTCCACCACACAGAAGAGAAGCATCTCTTCTAGGGTCTGGAACAGCATATAACTGGCGCTACACCTGCTGCTACCCAAGGTGGGGGGGGATCGCACAGCCATTTTGCAAACTGTGCCGGGCTACATGAGGCTGTGCTACCCGTCTGCAGCCAGTCTCACAGCCCTGACCTAAAGGAAGTGAAATTTAGGTTTGGCCAAGATGTTCCCAGTAGCACTGTTTATAACTGCTGGGATCTGGACCCACCCAGGTGTGCTCCAGCGGCTGAACACAGACGGTCCAGCGCCACTGACACTACTCAGCAGCTGCAGATGGACCAACAGCCAGCGTCACACAAGTGGGAGAAGCCGGACCCCAGCCTGCATGCTGTGCACCCCAGCTGAGCTGTGTCCCCACAGTGCTCCTGACGTGATAGGACCCTACTGCAGAGGTCTCAGTTAGGTGTGGTCACACGTAGTGAGGTGGTCCAGCTTGGCCTAGTGTCTTCCTTAGGGAGGAAACTCAGAGGTGACACAGAGGGGCCTTTGCAGTGGGACAATGCAGAACCCTGGGCAGATCCAGGAACCTGGCCCGGCCTTGGCTCAGGCATCTGGCTGCCACTGCCGTGAAAAAACAGAACTTGTTTTACGTCAGTGTTCAGGTTTGTCACAGCAGCCTCGGAAAGCAGTCACCTGGAAGGCTGTGATGCCCTGGGAAGGGCAGCGCTGTGGGCAGAGCTCTCCACACGTCCCTGAGGCGGTGTCCTGTGTGGGATCTCTATCAGTTGGCAAGCAACTGCTGTTCCTGTGGCCTCAGGCGGTGCACAGCTGGTCCTGCACTCGAGGGGCTCTGGTTAGAGCCGTGCGCACAGGACCTGCGCCCCACCTCACCTTACAACCAACACTGCTGGCGGTCCTCATGACACGGACAGAAGCTGAACAAGCCCAACGCCAGGCCGTGTGAACTGATCGCAGCAAGCTGTGCAGCAGGCAGACCCAGGACAGGACACAGGCTGGGGGTGCTGCACCGGGAGCGGGGTTCCATCTCTGATGATGGGGGTTCCACAGAGGGGTGGAGCGGGGGCTGCACAATGTTGTCAGTGAACTGGATGCTGCAAGGTAAGCACAGTGGTGCACACTTATCATTCTATCACTAGGAGGCTCAGGCAGAATCCCAAGTTGGAAGCCAGCCTGGGCAACTTAGCAATTTAGAGACCCTGCCTCAAAGGAAGAGGAGGGTGTTGCTGAATAGTAGTTTCCCTAGGTTCAAACCTCACTACAAGAAGCTAAAAATAAAGGTAGGCTGCTGGAAATCAGGCTAGCTGCCTCCTGTAGTCGTCATAGAGACACCGACTTTCTGGACTCGCAGCTTGGCTATGAAGGTCACGAGACGTCCTCTTTGTGTCTGCCCAGATCCTGGACTGGCACCTCCACCAGCCCACAGGCTGCACTGCACAGGAAGCGGCCTCATGCTCACAGCAGACGCACAGCTGTGACAGCAAGCAGAACCATGACTCTGCAGGCCGAGGGCACCTGGCCTTGGACATAGCCCTCCAAACACTTCCCTGCAGTTACTCACCGGTCCTTCACGCCTTCTACGCTTGTGAAGCCCGGTGTGAGGGCTTGGAGGTGTAGCTCAGGGGACAGTGCTTGCCTACGACATGTGAGATCCTGGCTTCAAATGTTAGTACTGGAAAAAAAAATCTAGTGCACACACCTCCCTTTTGGGGGATGCTGAATAAAGCAAATAGTTTTAAAATTAATACCAAACAGCCAGGTGTGGTGGCATACACCTGTGATCTGTAGGGGCCAAAGCAGGATTGTGAGTTTGAGCCTAGCTTGGGAAACTTTTGAGACCTGGGGAAAAGGGAAGAGGAGCAGGGGGGAGGCTGGGACATACATGTTCCCCCAAAATGAGATCAGGTCTTGCATTACTTTTCTCTCCAAAAGATGAGACAGGGTTTATTTTCAGGGATGTCTTGTTTCTTCATGCACAGCAATCTATATTTATTCACTTATTTCTGTACAAATCCCACATTTCCTCAAATACAGTCATGCTGTCGTCATTGGGAACATCATCATAACTCTCCAAACCCGAATTCCTCCCTTTCCCACAGAACCACTTATGTCCAGCAACAGAGCTGACTTCTTGTCCACGTAGACTGCTCGTAGCGCACTAGCCACGCAGAAGTCAGTGATTTTATCCCATGAATTCTTCACCCAAGTCATGACCTCTTGCAGGCTGGCTTCATGAAGTTTCTGTTAAATTGAGTGTTAACTGAAGACTTACGAGACAGGAGTGGCACAAAAATGATGACAATTAAAAACGAACAGCCACACAAAAGTGACAAAAAATTACAGGCACCAAAATTCAGACAACATTTCTTTATTTCACATGAATGCATTAAGTCCATTAGAACACACGACGTATTGAGTCATAAAGATTCGCATGAGACACCACATCTGCTCGTTATCAAGTGCTTGGGTGTTGTGTCTGAACTCCAACTTGTCATTCAGCACTGTCTTGAGTTCATGTGTTTTCCAAGGCATTTACCTCTTGTTCAATGGTGCCTGCTTGGATACTTACAAATACTTAATTATAATTTATATTAGCATTTAAGTATATATATTAATATCATATTATCTATATTTAATTATATATTACTACTTTATAACATTGCATCTGTTGTGTGTTACAACTAAATGCATCTGTCTGGCCAAAGATCTTGACTGGGTTCTTTTGGGGTAGGACTTATGAACATGCTGAATAATCATGCATAGACTTATTTTCCAGTTAGGTCTTATTTTCAGGGAAATAGGGTAGCTCACTTCAAAGGCTCTGGGGTCAATCCCCAATACCACAAATGAATGAATAAATGCTTAAACAGATAAGTGAATAAAATAAACACCAAAACTACAAAATTATTAACCTGAAACCTGAGATACAACAGTATGACAGGGATGAGAAACTGCCAATCAGTGTCTCGTATACATGCCCCAAACACAACCCAACCCTCAAGTATTATTAGCGAGCAAATCCATCAACATTCAGGACTATGTCATGACCATGTGGGCTCTTTCTCAGAACAGCACAGTTAGCTGAAGATAAACCTATCAGTGTGGTTCCCAGTGCCCACGTTAACAGAAAGGATAAACACATCTCTTCGATGCAGAAAAGCCGTCTGACACAATCAGCCTGCTTGCCCACAGCAGCAGCCCGAGAATGCTTCTTGGCTCCATCAGAGCCTGGCTCTATGGGTCTTTAGTTGCTGTCCTGGCTGCCCTGGAGTCTTGAATTAGCTCAGAATATTCCCATCTCATGGCTGTTTTGACTATTGGGTGGCATGCAGCAGCATCCACTATATCTTTGACCACACCTCATAAAGACACTCACAAAAGAGCACTTCAGGAACTGCTTCAGAAAGTGGCAGGGATACGGAATGAGTGTGCTCGAAGTGAAGGGATTTTGAGGGGGATTCATGGCAATGTGCCTTTTCCTATAATAAATGTTCACTGTGTACTTTGATCACACCGTGTATTCCAAATTTCCCGAGGCTGCCACTGCAGACCGAACACATGCCCAAAGCCTGATCCCAGTGGAAGTGAGTGGAAGCTCCAGGCGGCGTCTTCCATGGCGAGGTGGCAGATATGCACTCCATTTGAAAACCTGATCTGCAATCCATTGATCCAGTGCAGTAACTAGACAAGTCTGTACTCTGTATGCATGCAGATTTCTATTTCTAAATGATAATAGCAAAGAATACTAATACACATGTTCGGGCAACTGAAGTATGTTGTGGTATGTCCTCAAGCGTTTAAAAATTTAAGACAGCGGGACCTTAATACTGTCTGAAACCGTACGTCTTACACCAGTGGTGCAAGTCTTCTCTGGTGGTGCAAGCCCAGGCGATTCTCTGCGGTGATGTACAGCGGGACCTTGGTTCACAACTGCTTTGTCTGCGAACAATTTGGTTTGCAAACAAACATTTGGCTGTTTTGTCTTCGTTTGCAAACTATATCAGGTGACATCTTCCCCACACACACGACTGTTTTTTCCAAAACTGTAGAACAGGTTTTTGGTTCTTTTTTGTCTTTTTGAGACAGGGTTTCACTATGCAGTTCAGGCAGCCTTGAACTTGCTTTATAGTCCAGGCTGGTCTCTAACTCCCAGTGATCCTCCTGCCTCAGCCTCCCAAGTGCTGGGATTACAGGTATGTGCCACCACACCCAGCTTAGAACAGATGAAGTTTGTGAGCCGAGGTACCACTGTATTTTCCTGTATTCTCTAGTTTAGGAGGAATACATACTTTGTTGGTTGATCCTACATACTGTCCAGTCCATTTCAAAATGTGAAACTCTCCTACAACACAAGCTCTGACATATGAATGAACTGCTCAGTGGCAAGGGCCACCTCGAGATGTCTCTGGTACCTGAGCGTGAAGTGGCTGCAAAAAGAAAAGATAACATGAAAACCTTTGGCCAAACAAGGCTGCTGAGGCCAATGCTGCTGGCCAGAGCGGAGGGCAGGGGGAGGGTCCACACAGGGCCACGGTCCTGCACAGGGCAGGTGTACTGTGTTCCATGACACACACACTTTGGCAGCTGGGGGCAGGGTAGCAGAGGAACAGGCAGAAGGCAGGGGACCAGGCAAAAACCTGCCGAGGCCTACCTGGATGGCCTGCCAGCAGGCCGGACTTCTAGACTTGTGAAGGACTTTCCACCCAGTCTCCTGGCCCAGGTTCAGGGCTCACAGGAGGCAGAGGCACTGCTGATCTTGCTGCCCAGGGTAGTGCGCACACTGTCTCCAGGAGGTGCGGCAGCCTAAAGGACACATCGAGGGACAAACCAGAACCAACACCAACTTCAGATGCTAATGGAGCACGGTGTGGGTTGCGGGTGACCAGGGAAGCTGCCACCACAGGGACTGGCCAGCATGGCAGGACCCTGGGTGTCTTCTGAGCTGCAGGGCCCGACATGCAGGCTCTCTACCCAACGCCAGCACCACCCTGAGGGGTCCCATGGAGAGCACCTCCCAGGGTAACATCTCCTACACCAGACTACACTGGGGAAACCACATGCTGGAAATCATGTAAATGTGAAGGATTATCCCGCTCACGTGGCCCACAGACAGCAACGCAGCGTCCAAGAAAGCGAGGGTCACCGGCAAAGGGGGATGGGCAGGCGTCTGCGCGTCACACACATCTCCCAACAGTGGCAGGCTAAAGCCTCTGCGGTGGGGAGGATATAGGCAGGGACCACGTCCACGCATCACCCTCCCACATCTGCATCTGCTCTGCTCTCTGTGGGGCCACTAAGACGCCGCCTGTGGCTTCTCCTCCCACAGCTGGGCCCTCCTCGAGGCCAGCACCCCATGCTGGAAGGAGACCCCAGCCCCATGTCCTGTGGTGACAGCACAGTCCTGAGCGCTACCATCCAAACAGACTCTCGAAACAAGAGCAGTGTCTACCTTCGTAACACACTGCCCCACTCTTCACAGTACAGAATACAACAAAATTAGTCACTTTTATTTAAAAGAAACCGTACAAATAAGTGCAAAATTAAATTTCATGATTAAATACACGTAAAGGCAACATGCATCCTTGACATCAAAACCCACGCAGGAAGTTAGTCGGTTACACGACAGAAAGGAAATAGCAGACTGAGGACCTGCTGTGATGCAGATTGTAAATATATGCAGCCTGAAATCAAAACAATGAAGCTTCTTTGGGGAAGGGAACTGAAGAAAATTAAATATATACCTCAAGGAGCACGGACAATGTGGAACCCACAGCCTGAGTTACCAAATCTTTAAAAATGGTATGTGCCTTTCATTCCCAAAATGTTAGTGTGTAGCTACTCAAAATGCTGGGGAGGCGGCAAGGGGTGGACGCAGCAGCTGAGGGTGGCCCCACACAGAGGCCCCAGGACATGTGGCCTGCTCTGGGGAGGAGTCCTTCGAATCAAGGGACAGTGTCTGTGCTAACTAATTTTCAGTCTATGCACTGCTTTGTTCCCAACATGTCACAGGTAAACTGCCTGAACCCAGATTTAAGTGGGAAAGCCAGCCACACCTACTCCTGGAACCCGAGGTCGGCAGCGGCGGCGGCGCTCTGCTTACTGGGGCTGCTCTCTGCTCCCTCCCACCGCTGCCCCGGGGCTGGGACAAGCGTCGCTGGTGCAGGTGGCTGGCTCTCACAGCTGGGACCTGGCCTGGGCTGTGCGTTCCCATGCAGCTCAGGGCCAGGGCTGGGTGGGGATGGAGTCAGCGCAGAGATAGCTCCACTGCCTCTGGCTTCCTGGCACGGTCCCCAGGTTCACGAGGAGCCTCTGCTGGAGTGAGGATGCGGTTGGTGGAGCCACTAATGCTAACGTCACAGTTGAACTAAAAGGTGGCGGCGCTGGGTGGGCCACTGAGTGTCTGCGGTGCCTTGGTGATTATTCTTTAATGCAGGAAATGGGAGCCTTTCTCAGGAAGGCGGACAGCTCAGATGGCTTGAGACCCAAGTCCTGAGCAGTCCCTCCAGCCCCCACTCCCCAAGGCCCAGGGCACTGGCACCAGCCCCGGGCATCTGCAGGGTGCTGGGTGGCTGGCACTTGGATGAGAGCGTCACAGCTTGTCATCGGTCATCTCTAGGAACTGTGCGTACACGTCCCGGATGCACTCGCCCTTGGGGTTGAACAGGAACTTGTAGTAGCTGCCGTCGGCACAGATGGCTAGGACAGGAGATGCTGTGTTGGCCAGAGCTGCACTCTCTAGGCTCTGAGGCAAGTGCCACGCTGCCCGCAGCTCCCACCCACCAGGGTATCACATCCCAAGAAGCCACTCACCAATGACTGCGTTTGGCTCCGTCCCAAAGGCACAAATGCAGGGAGAGCCAGAGGGGACCTGGAACTTGGAGAAACTCCATTTGGAACTGAAGTATTTTGGAAGGAAGCTGGCTGACGCCAAACTGCAAGGACAAGGAGGGAAAAAAAGAATAGAAAAGACACAGAAATATTACCTACTTAAACCTAGAGAGCTGTTAAAAACATGAAAGTGCTCAAAGTTTTGAACTGAATGATTTCTTCAATTCTACACTTTTTAAACTTTTACTTACAGAAAAACTGATGTTTGTTGTTTTCATTTCGTTTTTTTGACAGGGCCTTGCTATGGCATTTAGGCTGGCCCTGAATTCACTATATAGCCCAGGATGGCCTCAAACTTGTGGTGATCCTCCTGCCTCAGCCTCCTGAATGCTGGGACTACAAGTGTGCGCCACCACACCTGGCTACAACTGGGTTTATAGTAACAGCAGCCACTAGCAGCAGGTTTCTTCTGCCATCAGCAGACTCTGCACGGACATGAACCACCTGGCACAGCTGAGAGCTCAGCACACATCTCCTTCGGTGACAACCTCACTCCAGGTTTGCCACACTGAAGCAGCTGCTAACCCTGTCCCTCCAGGGTCTTCCCTGCCAACAGGCCTAGAACCTACCTAGACTGCTTATTCCTTTTTGGGTCCTCAGCTGCAAAAATGTGCACTGTGCCATGGTCACTGGACACACAGATGAGGGAGGCATCCTGGTTGAAGTTGATGCTGTGGAGAAGATGAGATAAAGCTCAAGCTCTGTGCGGACCCCGAGAACGGGTGTGATGCGCACAGCACCCCGTATAAGTTTGCGCCTCAGAGACCTCCAAGTCCCAACCTAAGGTGGCACTTGAAGAAAGGCCCTCTCTTCCATTTGTTGTTGTGCCCTTGGGCCAGGGTTCAAGCTGCAGGCCAGGGCCCAGTGGTCTCAGCCTAAGCACAGGGGTGAGACTCACGGGAGGAGGCTGGAAGGCCCAGGAGGCACAGGCCATCCTAGAACTGGGCGCTGGCCCCATGCGTCTGCGAGCCGAGCCTTTAGGTGCAGAGCAGTGGCAGCTGAGGCCGGCACCCCACACACAAGGTGTTGCTGGTGAGGAGCCCCAGGCTCCGCCCAGCGGGGCTTTTGCACATCAGCACTGCAGACCCTTGGGACCTCAGACTGGTCTATTTCAGAACTCACTGGCCAAGAGTTTAAGGGCCAGCAAGGCCTCTAGTATTTATTTTTAAAAAATTTTTAATTTTTTGCCTTTTTGAGACAGGGTCTCGCTATGCAGTTCAGGCTGGCCTTGAGCTCACTTTATAGCCCAGGCTAGTCTCGGACTTCCAACAATCTTCCTGCCTCAGCCTCCAGAGTGCTGGGACTACAGGCGTGTGCCACCATGCCTGGATAGCATTCGTTTTAAAATGCCACAGAAACACAACTTGGTTTTTGTGTGTGTGTGTGTGTCTTTTTGAGACAGGGTCTCCCTATGCAATTCAGGCTGGCCTTGAGTTCACTTTGTAGCCTAGGCTGGTCTCGAACTCACAATGATCCTCCTGCCTCAGCCTCCCGAGTGCTGGGATTACTGGTGTGCGCCACCACGCCCGGCAGAAACACAACTTGGAATGAGGTGCAAGCACAAGATCAAGCCATCAAAAGACGAGTGCCCAAGCCCGGTGCTGAGCCCAAGTCAGACACCCACAGTGGTCACTAGGTATTTACAGAGGTACCAGGGACTGAGCCTTGGGGGGAAGGCATGTGCACGCCAGGCAAGGGCGCTGAGCTACACCTCTAGCCTAATTTTTTAGACAAAGTCTTACTAATTTGGCTGGGCGGGCTTTGAACTTGCAATCCTCCTGCCCAGCCTTTGTAGTAGTAAGGATCACTGGGATGGTCCACCACTCCTGGCTCTACGCTCCTTTATTTTTACGTATATACCACATAACAAAGCAAAACTCAGTTAATAGCAAAAAGAACCAAAACCGCCCACCTAGCAGCTATCAGGGTCAGGCCATGAGTCCTTACCAGTAGATATTGGCTGCTTGAGATCCTCTTCGTAGTTCCTGGATTAAATGCCCTGATGAAGTATCAAATATTCTTATAAGGGTCCCCTTTGAAAAACAGTGAAGTGTTTCATTATCAACAATTCACAACTCCTGAGTCTTTGAGATGATTTGTACTCACAAGCCCCCTGGCCCACAGACCCTTTCCCAAACTCCCCACCACACAGGGCCGCCACAGATCCGAGAATGCACTGGCAGCTGAGTCCCATGGACCAGCCAGGGCAGGGCATGGATGGGAGATGACACCTGACAGATGCCGACACCCGTCCCCCTGGCCAATGCCCTAGGACAAGGCCCAGGCTCCAGGTCTGCCTCTATCCCAGACACGTGCCCACCTGCAGAAAGTCACCTGAAGTCGGACCCCCACTGGCAGGCATAAAAGCAGTCCATGATTCTGTGTAACGGGAAATGCAAGGATGGAAGGCCCAGACTGTCCCATCTACCACACTGGCCTTCCCAAGAGAGGATGCCCAAGACTCAGGAAGGACTCACAGCTGTTTTTACCACTCAATAGAGTCCTTAGTGGCAGCAAGGGCAATTGCTACCACTTTTGTGGAGAGCATCAACCTCAATTAAACTTCCACTGTAGTAAGAAACCTGGTCTTGGTCCCAGAAGCCTCTCTCTCATGGGGGTGTGGGGAGGACTCCCCAGAGATGATTGCTTCACCACTGTGAAATGTTTTACAGATGCCCCTGAAGTCTCAAGTAACCTAGAAATCACTGTACTGGACACACCTAGCATTCCAACACCACAGCCTGCCTACCGTATACATAGCTCACTGCACGCTGACATCTGAACAGCGCCAGCAACAAGGCACAAGGGCTTTAGACCGAGGGTCTCTGCCTAGCACCACCAGAAAGTACCACACCAGGCACTGCTAGCCCAGAAATGGTGAAAAGGCAAAGCCTGGCTCCTGCTGAATACTTCTGGGTTGCTGTAGAGCTGAAAACCCCCTGATGTCAGTGACTGTGTACAAAGACACTGTGATGTGGGAGGGTACAACCTGTTCCAGCTAACTCGAAGGGCACTGCTGACGTGGGAAAGGGGAGTGTGGAGAAAGTGCGAGCTTGTGCTTGGGAGGGAGCTCTGTGATCACAGGGAGGGGTTTCAGGGTAAGGAGAGTCTAAGGGTGAAAGAGTAAGAGCAAATGCACTCCACAGAGTGTTCATAAGTTTATGTACAAGTGTATTTGTTGCTAACCCAGCAACATGCTGAAGAGCAACATCTAAAACCCACCTGGCCTCTGCTCAGCCCCATACGTGTGCCAGCCGCCGAGCCCACGCCCACCACACACAGCAGTGCGGCTCGACCCACACTCCCATTTCTGATTCCCTACAAACAGCCTGGGCTTGCAGGCTCATATGGACATGACAGTGGGTAAGAAGATTCACTTTTGCTGCTTCAAAATCCAAATTAATTAGGGCTGAAGGCAGCAAAAAGCACCCAGATAATGTTTTACAAAGCAGTAGTTCTGCCAGTCAGGCACAGTGAGAGGTACACGGGCAGCTCTGTAAATCGCAGACCACCGTGGCACCCTCTGGAGGTGACCAGAGGATAATGCTCCGTCACCAGCCTGCCACAACAGAAGCACAGAAATGAGCGGTGCTTGTTCATCTCTCCTGTGCTCTGCAGGACCCTGGCTGTGGGTCCTGCAGTGAAGCAGACAGCTGGGAGCCCCGGGCTGCACCACCCTGGACCTGGGAGGGGTACACACTTACTTTTTCGGAGGCAGTGGCAATTCTTGTTCCCTGTAGGTTGAGAGTGATGCAGCTCAGGACACCCTCGTGAGCAGGAATGTCCACGGGGGGCTTCTCAGTACTAGCCAGGTCCACGAGCTGCACGTGGCCTGTGTGGGTGCCCGGGAAGGCCAGGAGGGAGTTGTTACTATTGGGACACAGGACACAGAGGCCTGAATAGAGACAGAGGAAGCCATCAGCAGCTGATATCGTGCCAAAGCTCTGATTCCTCCCAACCAAAACCCATTTTTTGCTTAAAAAAAAAAAGACTATTTGCAATGTGCATTTGTAAAGGGTATCAGGGATGACAAAGTGACCACCCATGAGACACTCTCACAAGTGGAAACACATGTTCTGAACAACTGATTATTGAGTAGAATGCCACCTGTCTTTTGTGGTGCTGGCTACTAAGAATGCAATACCATACTACAAAATATACAAACTGCTCCAAGCTGGGGATGGGAGCACACACCTGTAATCCCAGCAAGAGGATCCCAAAGTTCAAGTCCTGCCTGGACAACGTAGCAAGACCCTGTCTCAAAATTAAAAGGAAGTAAGAAAGGGCTAAGGATGTAGTTCAGTGATACAATACTCTTGGGTTCAATCCCTAGCACCCCCAACCCCATACAAACAGAAAAACAACTCTATAAGGAATAGCTTATGGGAAGCTGCGTGGTGGGGAGCGCCGGCCTTTGGGCCAGCCCCTAGCTGCGCAGGTGCCCAGGAGGCAGGCAGTCGGTGCCCGGGAACCCGCGCGGCGGTGTGCGCTGGCACGCGCCGGCCCTCACATCAGTTGTCGCCACACAGTTGAGAACTATCATGGCACAGAGAAGCAATGACACAACTGGCCTGCCACGCGCCGGCCACAGAGGCCCACCCAGGGATGTGTGTGAATCATCCCGACATGGAGAAACCCCTGGGAATACATGCCACACAACGGGTTGCTCTTGCCTCTGCTGCTGAGAACCAGAAAGGTCCAGAGTCAGTGGAGGAGCAGCTGCTGAACAAGGACTTGGAGGACACAAGAAAACAGGCTACGCCTGAAGACTCAGAGGTCTAGTTGACTGGGGTCACGAGAGCCGTTCAGAAGCTGGAAACCAGCAGGACCTTGGAGGTCCAGGAGAGGTCCTTGGAGAGGTCCTTGGAGAGGACCAGGAGGACCTCTCCCCAGGAGGACCTGGGGAGACCCCCTGGAAGCCATTCTTCCCCTGACAGTACAGGCTGCAGTGAAGGAGCACATGGAGCTCCGGAGAGATCTGCACTGAGATTCCTGCTGCCTGTGCTGATGGATGGGGAGAGGACACTAAGTGGTTGTGGGGTCCCAATGCGCTGGGAGGCTGGAAAGAAAAAGCTACAAAAAATGGCTTTTGCCCCAGAGGGCTCATTTGAGATGTTAGTAAAAATTGCCTCCTCAGTATTCTATAGCCGTGACAAGGAGGCAGCCAAGGAGAAAAAACAAAGAGACCAAGAAAAAACTGCTGCTTTTGCTGCAGCACTAAGAGAAACAGACCCTAAGTCCTTTTCTCGGGGCCCCAGGAAGAACTCAACAACTAAATTCATCTGCTACCACTGTTAAAAGCCAGGCCAGCTCAAGAGGAACTGCCCTAAGAAGCCCCCTGGGCCATGCCCTGAATGCAAAGGAGACCACTGGAGATCTGCCTGCCCTCTGAAGCAGAGGCCCCAGAGCTCAGACCCATCCTACCACTTAGTCTAACAGGAATGAGGGGGCCCGGGGCATACTCTGCCTTTTCCCTCTGGCCAGACTGTCGTCTCCATGGAGGAGCCCCAGGTAATCATGACTATAGAGGAAAAAGAAAACAGCCTGTTGCTAGACACAGGTGCAAGTCTCTCGGTCCTTCTTTTTTTTGTTGTTTTTTTTTGGTTTTTCTCCGGTACCGGGAACCGAACTCACGGCCTTGCGCATGCCAGGCAGGCGCTTTTGCCGCTGAGCTAAATCCCCAGCCCCTCGGTCCTTCTTTTCAATCCTGGCCTTCCTTCCAGCCGTCCCACCTCAGTGAAAGGAGTCACTGGTGAGGAGCTAATATGCTATTTTTCACAACCATCAGGCTGTAACTACTTGTTAGATCTTTCTTGCGTATCTCCTGTCTTCCTCAGAAACCACTTTGAAGATACCACCATGTATTACAGCAGCCACTGATATTTTCCTACTAATCTGTCCATAACACTGTAATGTTTATATTGTCTCTATGCTATTTCATAAATGGATGTATGTTTATTACTATGTGTTTCCTACAACAACCATTGAGAATAGTCAATGATTATTCAATTGGTCTCTCATGTATAGCTCTATTTATTTTCTTTAGAAACCACTTTGAATATACCAAAGTATAGTACAACCGTTGATAATAACCTACAACTTTTGTCTGTAACTCACTACTGTCTATTTGTTTTCCTGAGAAACTATCTTGTAGATAACAATATGTAAAACCACCACCATTGATAATTTCCTACCACTTTGCCTGTAATTCAGTAAGCCCCCCTATTACTATGTTATCCTTCTTTTACTCTTTAAAATAATAAAAAAAAAAGAATAGCTTAAGCAAAGTCAGGCATGGTGGCACACGCCTGTAATCCCAGCACTTGGGAGGCTAAGACGGGAGGATCACCATGAGTTTGAGCCCAGCCTGGGCTACATAGTAAGACCCTGTCTCAAAAAACCAAAACAAACAAACAAAACCCCTAAGAAACATGCTTTCAAGTACATTTAGCAAAAGATGCATAAGCCTTACTCAGGAGGACCTCACATCCCTGGCGCACGGCCGTGACCACAAGGCCAAGCCGAGTTGGCAGCTACAACCAACACCTCAGCAAAGCTGAGAGCTACAGGGAAAACAAAGGGTGAGGATGCAGGGACTTCTAGGGTGAAACCAGAGGAGTGACACTGCCCGATTTCGGGAACCCAGGGCAGAACGACTTGGCCCAGGACACAGACCAGCACCCTGAGGCAGCGAGGCAAAACTGGGATGTACACCCTGGCAGAGTGCACAGCCAGGCGGAAGTTCGGGATGGAGGGGAGGCGGCGGCTGAAGCATCCACAAAACAACTTACTGATCAAAGCAAAAATGCCAAAGTAATTCAGGGCAAAAAGAGGTCTTTAAAATAATAAAAGAAAAAAAAAAAGAACCTGGGCCTTCATCTTACATACAAAAAATTAACCTAAGCTGGATGAGACTTAAGATCTTACGTGATTAGACTTTGAGAATAAAATACAGAAGTCTGTTAGATGAGGGCTCTATCCAGGATGCAAGAGGAACTTTAGCATCTCATAACAACACAATCAGCTAATTACAAAATGCAGGCAGACACAGAAGCATGCACACCTTATATTCTCAGCACTCTGGAAGGCTGATGGCAGAGGATCTTGAGTTAGAATCTAACATGTGCAACTTAGTGTGACCCTGTCTCACAATAAAAAAATTAAAAAGGGCAAGGGAAGTAGCTCAGTGTGAGGCCTTGGGTTCAATCTCCAGTGCTGACCCCCCAAAAGGTCACAGTTCACAGAAGATATGCAGATCAGCAGTGTGTGAAAAGATGCTCACGTCCCTGGTCCTCCAGGAAGACACTATCAGGGTGTACATCCCTGGCTGCTTCCTCCCTGCCCTGCCCTGTCCACGGCTGCCCTGAGGTGAGCAGCTTTCTGCTGTATTCCTCTGCCAGATGCTCTGCCTCACCACAGCCCCAACAGCCATGAAGCTGGCTGATGGAAGCCTCTGACAAGAGTCAAAACAAGCCTTTCCTCCCTCAGGCTGACGACCACAAGGCACACTAGCAAACTACCTAAGTGGTGAATACAGACAACTCCCTTACTATGGAAAGTTAAACATAGCTGGGCACAGTAGCACACTTGTAGTCTCACTTGGGAGGCTGAGGCAGGAGGATTACTAAGCCCAAGAGTTTGAGACCAGCCTGGGCATAGCAAGATTCATCTCAAACAACATGAGTTATATAATTTATATCCCAAGATAGCTACAAGAAAAGCTCAAAATCTAGCCAGGTGTGGTGGCACACACCTGTAATCCCAGCACTCGGGAGGCTGAGGCAGGAGGACCCTTGCAAGTTCGAGACAAGGCTAGGTTACAAAGTGAGTTCAAGGCCAACCTGAACTACACAATGAGACCCTGTCTCAAAAAGAAAAAAAAAAAAGGAAAAAAATAAAAAAAACAAAGCTCATAATCTTTACAAGGATATGAGATGACCCAAGGAACAACTGAGCTGACCTTAGAACCCTCTAATCCAGGAGACAAGGAAGAAAATGCTAAAATCAGAGTTCAGTGCTCCAACGTAAGGAATAGCCTGAGGACTTGGTATGCTCCAGGGGCCCACCTCCAGGTCTTGGGATGGAAAAGTAGGGATTGGGAAGCACCGCCCAGTTGTGGCACAAAGTGTGGCTTCAACACTGTAGGCCCAGAGAGCTCAGGGCCTTGGAAGGCCAGAGCTGGCTCATCCTCCAAGCTTTCCTGGGGGGCAAAGCATGCCCCACCCCACAACAGTGCTGAGGCCCAGACACCTCCCACAAGACAGCCTGCAGCCCCAGGGCTACGTACCACCATCCACCCTCGAGGTGCTCACCTTTAGGGTTATAGCAGGTCTCGAAGACGTGCAGCTGGTGAGGGTTGTGTGTGAATGTGAACACTTTGATCATGGAGTCCAAGACAACTACAATTCTGCAAAGAAAAGATGATCAGAGTTCCATGCCACAAACAGTGAAACATAAACGTCTTGGGATTTCTAGTCTTTTCTTTTGGTTTCTTGAGACAGGGTCTCACAACTAGCCCAGGCTGGCCTTGATCTCATTAGCTCCTCCTGCCTCAGCCTCTTGAATGCTGGGATTACAGGTGTGCACTACCCTGCCTGGCTTATGATTTCTGTTCTTACCTTTTTTGAAACTCAGAATCACTGGAAACACCATGTACAGAAAGGACTAGTTTTGACTAAGGCCCTAGGCAAGGGGCCTTTGGAAGCTGGGCCCCAGGGGCAACTGGCAGGCACATGCCCCAGCACAACACAAAGGGGGGCATATATCAAACCTGGCCCAGGTCAGCCTGAGAACACACTGCATATGGAGGAACCAAATGAAACCCACACAGTAGAAATTGCTCCTTCCTTCCTTTAGACTAAGCTACACCCCTAGCCTTTTATTTATTTATGTTTTTATTAATTATTGATTAACTAATTGGAGACAAGGTCTCACTATGTAGTCCAGGCTGGCCTTGAACTCACAGTGATCCACCTCTTCAGTGCTGGGATTACAGGTCATACCACCACACACAGTTACAAATCATGCTTTCATATTCATATGGAGATTTTTATAGTTAAGAACAGTTTGCAAGCAGATCTTCGATCTGGTTCAAGCTTCTGTGCTACCAAGGGTTCCCCACAGCTCAGTGCTCAGTGCTGGCCCACACAGCCCGTATCCCCCAGGTTTCAGGCCCCAAGTGTGCCAAGTCCTCAGGCTGTTCCCTGTGTCCTATAGATGATGAGAGGCCTCTTAAGTCAGTATTAGGACAGCCTGTGAGGAGACAGCAGATGCCGGGAGGGACAGTGCCATGGGAGGACCTCCACACTTCTCACCCTCTCTAGCACTTGGCGATGCCCAGCTGGCACAAAGCCAGGGCCCCTTCAGGGCGCTCCTAGAAGTCATCCACGCAGACCACAACCCCCTTCAGGCCCCAAGGCCAGTTGAGATCCTTACCTTCTTCCAGCAGCCCTGGACATGCTGGTCATAAGCTAGAGTCCCTGACATTTTAATACAGCATTTCTGAAAATGTTTTTCCTGTGAGAGAAAAGCAGTGCAGTGTCTCACGGGAACATGAATACCCCTTCAATAAGGACACGAAACTCACCTATCTCGCCGCAGCTTCACTGCTTTGACCTCCGTGGAAAACTCGATCTCTATGACAGTCTTCTTTTTGAGGTCGTCCCAGATCATCACTGCAACGGCAGCAGAGTGCACCCACTGCAGCAGGCTCCCTCAAGAGCATGCACACAAACACACTTAGTCTCTGCTAGCCCTTCCCAGCCCCATCGAGTGGATAAACAATGGGATATTATTCAGCACTGAAGAGAATGAGCTATCTAAACAGGAAAGATACGGAAGAAATGTATTTTAATACTGCGTTTCTAAAATACATTTAAGAATGTACACAAGACATGATCGAAGCATATGGTGAACATTTAAATTTAAAATTACACTCAAAGACACTAAGTCCCCTGCCTGTCTTCCCTCCTCAGTACTGGGAATTGAACCCAAGGCCTTCACACTGAGCTACAGCCATAGCCCTTTTCATACTGTATTCCTCCCTATTAGTTCTTCAGTTTGAAAATGCTTATCTCATTATTCTTGCCACTTTCTGAAGCAGTTCTGGAAATCCTTTTTCATGTGTCTTTACAAGGTAGAATCAAAAATACAGTGTCTGCTGGGCATGGTGGCACATCCTGTAATCCTAGCACTTGGGAGGCTGACGCAAGAGGATTGCTGCTAGCTCGAGGCCAGCCTGGGCTACATAAGTGAGTTCAAGGTGAGCCTGTACTACATGGAGAGACCTTGTCTCAAAAAAACCAAAAAAGGTAATTCTCCAACAGGTTTTTGAGTAACTGTACTTTTTGGTACAACCTAAAACCACCTTTAAAATACAATTTATTTTTAGAGACCTTTTATGCTCATACCAAAATTGAATAGACTTGCTGGGCATGGTGGCACATGCCTATAATTCCAGCACTTGGGAGGCTGAGGCAGGAGGACTGTTGTGAGTTCAAGGCCAGCCTGGGCTATAAAGTGAATTTAAGGCCAACATGAACTGCACAGCGAAACCCTGCATCAAAAAACACCCTCCCTCCAAAAAAACTGAACAGAGGCTGGGCGTGGTGGTACAAGCCTGTGATCCCAGCACTTGTGAGGCTGAAGCTGGAAGATCACCATGAGTTTTGAGACCAGCCTGAGCTACATAGTGAGTTCAAGGTCAGTCTGAACTACACAGTGAGATCCTGTGTCCAAAAAAAAAGGAGCAGGGAGTTCCACATATTTCCCCCCAACACACACACAGCCCCACTGTCACACAAGTGTGACTTCTTGATAGTCAATGTACCCACACTGACAGGTCCGCACCGAAGCACAGATCTCCATCTGGGTGTGCTCTGTGTGTGTGCAGCATGCAGACTCTGACAGGTGTGGAGAGACACGGACCCACTGTCACTGTGCCCTGCAGAACAGCTGCCTTGCCTTGATTCCCTCTAAGCTTTGCAGTGTTTTACTACTGTAAAACACATTAACACCAATCCCTCTCAATACTCCCCCTTGCTCTGAACACCTGCCCTATCATTCTTGCCACCCTTATCTCTATTTCCGTCATGGCTCCCTTGGTGTCCCGAATCAACTGAAAATGTTTTACCTTTCTCAGTCATTCGCCTTTGGAAAGAGTCAGAATCATGGGTGCCAGGTCTAGTGAATAAGGTGAGGACACAGTGTAATGTTTCTCATGAGCCTGTCTTTCTACTGGATGGTTCTCAGCAGCAGTCGTCACTATATTTTTGTTTTCGGTTTGTTTGTTTTTTAGAGGCAAGGTCTTCCTATGTAGTGCAAGCTAGCCCTGAACTCACAGAGATCCTCCTACCTTAGCCTCCTAAGTGCTGGGATTACAGGAGTGTGCCACCATGCCTGGCTCAGCCTCCAATTTGTGATTCTCCTGCCTCAGCCTCCTTAGTATCTGGGATTACAACTATGAACCACCACACATGACTACTTCTTGAACAATTTAAATTTTTTAATGAGAGAAAGACTTTGCAGGTGAAAGAGACAACAAAGAGCAACTCTGACAGAGCCTGGAAGGAGCTCCCAGCTTCCCCACTGCCTGCCTTCCAGCTCCCTTTCCTCAGGAATGATCACTTCTCTATGACCAGACAACCATCAGCTCAGCAGCAGTGGGGCTCCTGGCCACTCTCAAGTTGAGGATAGAGTAATTCTTTTTTTTTTTTTGGTCTTTTGTCTTTTCTTCTGGTACCAGGAATTGAACTCATGCCCTTCTGCTTGCCAGGCAGGCGCTCTGCTGCTGAGCTAAATCCCCAGCCCCGAGGATAGAGTAATTCTTACTACACTGCCAGTCACTGGCTGAGCAGGACCCCAGGATCACGCTGGGTCCCTTCCCTCTAGCACCTTGTCACGGCAGACGCACTCCCTCTGTGCAGTGCACAGACACACCCAGGTGCTGGAATCTCAAGTTGACTCTTTTACTTTCTTACCTGCCAACAATCTCCTTTTTTAAGTTTTTATTACTGGGGATTGGACTCAAGAGCATTCACACTGAGCTACATTCCAACTGAGTCTCACTGAGTCTCATTACACTGAGTCTCACTGAGTTGCCCAGGTGGGACTCAAGTTTGCAATCCTCCTGCTTCAGCCTCCCTGAGTGCTGGGAGTAAGGGCAGGCACCACCATGGCCTGCAGTACCTTTCATTTCTAGGCTCTTGGTCCAAAGCCAAAGCAAAGGTGTCAGTGCTGGTATCACCCGAGTGCCTTCCACAGTCAAGAGTGAGTCTGGGGCCCAAGGCCCAGCAAGTCCCCCAAGGCCTACGCCTCTGCACAGGACCCTTTCCTTGCAGTGCCAGCAGGGACCCAGGCCTCCTGCAGACTAAGTGTACACCCTGCTTTGGAGCTGTGCAGCACCAGCTTCTTCACTTCTGGCTTAGCCTTCTTACCCCAAAGATGTGGCCTCAGCATAGCCCTCCTGGTCTTCGCTTTCCTGCTTCCTCTCTGACTGCCTTCCTGTCCCCAGCTCTCTCCACCAAACCACCCACCCAGAAGCCGAGGTCTACTCCGAAGCACAATGGTCACTTGGCTAGCGCAGGCAGCAGCCTCCCACACCTTGGGTCTTGCAGCCCTGGCACTGGCAGGTATGCACATCTGCTTCCCTCTGCCTTTTCTGTGAACAGTGCCAGCATCCCCATGTCTCCCCTAGCACTCATGCAGACTCTGGACCACCGCCTTCCCAGCACGCACCAATTGCCTATCTCTTAGGCACTTCCTTGCCAGGCATTCAGGACCCGGGTCTGCCCATCCCCTTCCCACTCAGCAGCCCCATGGCCCAAGTTCTGCCTTCCTCTCTGTACCCTTCCCCGCCACCAAGCACTGGGCCATGCTGCACAGGTGCGGAACCTGCAGCAGGGTGGGGAAAGCCCATTCCTTTCTGTGCCTTACAAGTGCTGACCCTCAGCCACATCTCCATCACTGACTGCAGACAGCACTGCACACCCAGGGCCACACTGGCTTCTTGCTCTACATGGCTACCAGATTAGTGTTCCTTGGTCACATGGCTCCAGGAACTCCAGTGGCTCCATCCTTCCCCGAAGCCCTGCCCAGCCCAGTGTGGTACACCCCCATTTACCAGAGCAAGGCTAACTGTGCCATGGCCAGTCTTCCTGGCCCCTTCTTCCCAGCTTGTCCTTCAAACTGCACAGGGCACAAGAGCAGGCCACACATAGTCACTAATGGAGGTGGCCTACAAATTCAGAGACCCCCAGGCAGGGAAGGAGGCTCTCAATGGTGTGGCTACTTTACCTTTGTTGGGAGGGTATTTTGGCTTTTTTCCACCACCAACTAAAGCCAAATAGTTGCAGCGAAATAACATTTCCACATGGCCAACTCCTCCTTCTAAAAATTCTGAAATGATAATTTAAAAAAGACAATTTCAATACATTAATATGTTTATTTTACAACTTATAAAAGCAAGACGTGTCACAATCAGCATTTCATTTTTAATTGTGTTTACAACCAAGTATCAACACGGGAGCATGGCACCTGGCTACTACGCACACGGGCTCCAGACCTGGTCAGCACCTCTTGTCCTCAGCCAGCTTCCTTAGGGCGCCGCATCACACCAAGAGGCCAACTCACTGAAATAAGCTGTGGACTGAGAAACACACTGCAAGTCTTAACAGGCCTATAAGTGGAGCTGCTTCCTCTTAACCTTCTGCTCCACTCAGGTGGGAGGGCTCAGATGTGCCAGGGAGAAACTCCTAGTCCTTTGTAGCTCCCCAAGTGAGCAGACAACCTGCCCTTCAGCTCAAGACACAAAAGGCACAGCGAGGATACATGGGGAGCCACCGTGTGGAAGCTGGTGGCGCCACTAGGGCAGACTTTCACTCCCCAGGCCTGGCTGTGTACCTCGGGTGACGGGGGTGAGTTCCACTTGTCCAGGACAGGAAAAGGTCCAACAGGACTTGTCCTCTGCTCAGTCAGTACAGGGTCTGACAGACGCCTGCAGAGCACTGCACAGTATGTCCACAGCAAGAACTGCCTTTCCAACAGACAATTTATAGTCGTCACTACATTGCTGGCTACAGAAGAAGGTGCTGATGCAGATGCCTGCCATGTCTCTTCCCTGGGCAGCACAGGACACAGCCCTCCAGCCAAAGGGTTTCCTCCACCACACTCAGCCAGCACAGGAGGGCCGCAGTAACTCTTGGAGAAGCAGGAACTGTGAGGGACCAGCGCCCAGGTGGCCTCTGCATTGCCTTCCTTAAGATAAATGTGGCCATCTCAGCAGGAAGGAGTAGTCTTCTAAATAAGTGGGGTGGGGGAAACCGGTCTCCACATGCAGCAGAATGAGGTTGGACCCTATCAATACCACACATCAAATTAACTCAAGCTGAGTGTCGTGGCACACACCTGTACCCCAGCACTTGGGAGGCTGAGGCAGGAGGATCAACGCAGTTTTTTGAGGCCAGCCTGGGCTACATGATGAGTTCAAAGCCAGCCTGGATTACATAGCCAGACCCTTTCTCAAAAAATAAAAAAATAACTAATTTGTTAATGGTCCTAAATGTCAGGCCTGAAACTATAAAACTCCTCAAGGAGAAAACAAGGGAAGTTTCATGATGTTGAATTTGAGAATGATTTCTTGGCTATGAATAGCAAAATCCCAAGTAGTACAAGCAAAAATAGGCAAATAGGACAATATCAAACTTAAAAGCTATACTACAAGACCCAGAGCCCTCTATTGGCACAAGAGTTAAGTCATCCCAGCATTACCCCAGCAACTGAGCATCAGATAACAGCACATAAAGGGGTCATGCCCATGCTCAGATAGGAGTAGCAGCACCAGGTGATGATGTCACAGCCTGTGACTCATTAGCCAAGACTCCTTCGAGCTTTCACACAGCTAGGCAGTGCGCTGCCAAGGATGGGTGTGTGTGTTTATGTGCGTGTGTATGCTTGGACTGGCTACAATTTTAGCAGAAGCCCTCACAAGGTAGGAAATGCACTCTAACGCACTTTTCAGAGCAGGCCAAAAGCTGGTAGTCAGTGGAACGCTGCATCCTTGTGCTGGTGGTCAGCAAATTCAAGAGGAACCCTCAGCTGAGAATCACTGCCATAGATTGTTTATTCAGGGAATATCCAGTTCTTTAGTGTTAACTAACAGTGTTAGCTATGTTTGATATACGGATAGATTTTTATTGGGTGATTCATTTTTTTAAAAATTTTTGTGTTTTTGTAGACATCAAGTCTTGAACACTAAAAAATGATTACAAGAAAAAAAGGAAAACTGCAAATAGTGGAAGATGGTTTGAAGAGCTCTGGACAGAATCATCTGGAGTCACTGAACACAACGGGGCAGCGTTATGCATTCTGTGTAGTGAAAGTGCCACGTGTTCCACATCAAATGTCAAACAGCACCTTGACACTAACCACAAAAGTGTCGCCTAACTTGGTGAAACTGAAAGGAAAGAGTTTCTTTTCTTTGTTTTTTTGAGACATGATCTCACTATGTAGTTCAGGCTGACCTTGAATGCAATGCATAGCCCAGGTTAGCTTCAAAGATGCAGTGATCCTCCTGCCTCAGCCTCCCAAGTGCTGAGATTACAGGAGTGCACTACCATGCAGTGGAAAGAAATTTCTTGAAGGGAAAATCATTCCCAGTATCTTAATTTTCAGTTTTTTTCTTTTTTGCCTTTTTGAAACAGGGCTTCACTAGGCAGTTCAGGCTGGCCTTGAACTCACTTTGTAGTCCAGGTGGGCCTCAAACTCATAGCGATCCTCCTGCCTCAGCCTCCTGAGTGCTGGGATTACAGGCATGAGCCACCACACCTGGCCATTTTGCTGTTGTTTTTTGTTGTTTTCCTTTTTTTGGTAGTGGGAATTGAACTCAGGACCTTGAGCTTGCCAGGCAGGTGCTTGTGCCACTGAACTATATATCCCCAGCCCCGTTTTTTCAACTATCTTTCTAAAAACAAATCATCTGACAGCTGGCAGCTTCCAAATTTCACTGTGTATAGTAAAACATGACAAGCCTCTCTCCGATGGGATTTTATCAAAATGGTCATGTGTGGGAGTAATTTCCTTTTTCATCATTTCCCAAACAAGGAGAAAGTTATACAAGGCATCTCTGAGATGCCACTTGGCAGAAACTCTGTTAAAGATCAAGCCCTGCCCATGGCAAGTGATGTTAGCTCACCGCTGACTTACAAAAGGCAGCCAGTTGTTACTCCATTTGCTTGGATGAGAGCACAGATAAAAATAACCACCAAGGCTCCAGCTAATTTTGGTTATGCTGCTGGTGACACCATGAGAGAAGAGCTGGTGAAACTGGTGTCTTTGCCTGGAAGAACACAAAGGACGGATATCTAGTGCTGTAATGGAGGTCTTTTTGTCACAAGATGTAAGGCCAGAAAAAGTGGCCTCAATGGGGCACCTTGCTTGGTGGGGGCAACATCTGGTTTCATACAGCCCTTTGTTAAAGAAATAAAACATCCAGTCATTCAGTTTCACTGTACCTCAATTTACCAATGCTTCTATTTGCAAACAAAAGCTCCGTTTGCAAACTCCTTGTTGGGTGACAAACACAACTATGGTCATCTTCCTCACACAAACACAAACATAGCCATTTCCCCAAAAATCATAAAACAAATTAAGTCTGCAAACTGAGGTACCATTGTATGATACATCAAGAAGCTCTTTGTGCCAGGCAAAACAGCAAAAAATTCGACAAGATGTCATAAAAATGGTGAGTTACACCATGGCTCATGCTCTTAATTCTCAACAGTTTCAAGCACTGCTTGATGAACCTCGAGCACAGTATGCTTTACTTATGTACAATAATGTCACGTGGCTGAGCAGTGGGAAAGTCCTGGAAAGATCTGTAGCCTGCTTGGATGATATTAGACTGTTTATGAATGAAAAGGGGCAGGAATATCCAATCTCACTGATATAGCCTGGCTTACCAACCTCCGCATTTTACAGATTTTTTTTTTACTAAACTTCAGTATACTAAACAAAAACTCAAAAGTGGCTGGGTGTGGTGGCACAAGCCTGTAATCCCAGCACTCGGGAGACTGAGTCAGGAGGATCCTTGCGAGTCTGAGACCAGACTGGGCTGCAAAGTGAGCTCAAGGCCAGCCTGAACTGCAGAGTGAGACCCTGTCTCCTTAAAAAAAAAAACAAAAAAACAAAAACACGCACAAAAACTGTAAGGTGTAGGGAAAATAGCAGAAAGAAGTTTGTGGTATCAAAACGTGAGAGAAAACTGCAGGTTAAAAGAGAGCTTGAAAGTGGTGGCTGAAGTATTTTCCAAATCTAAATATGCATTTAGAAAAAAGTCTACAACATTTGCAGACAATCCTACAAGCCATCAGAAGATCTACAAGGATTTTCTAGCATTGTAGCAGCTGCAAAGGAGAATTTTAGTAATAGATTTTTACATTCTAGAAGATGAAGACAACTATGTGTTTTCTCCAGATAAGGCCACATTTGAAGAACTTAAAAAAAAAAAAAAAAAAAAAAAGAACTTGATCTTTCCTGCTTACACTGTTTAGATTTTGGAAATCTGGAAATGGAGCTATCAGAATTTCAAGGAAGTCCTATCTGGAAAAATAAATTCTATGACCTGCGTGCAACAGTTGAAAAGATAAAGAATGTGAAGAGATGACAAAAGCACAGTTGGTAGTTCTAAAAATGAAATCAGGGGCTGGGGATTTAGCTCAGCAGCACAGCGCCTGCCTGGCAAGTGCAAGGTCATGAGTTCGATTCCCGGTACCGGAAAAAAAAAAACCCAAATAAATAAATAAATAAAAATGAAATCCAAGCTGGGTGTGGTGGCACACACCGGTAACTGCAGCACTCTGGTGGCTGAGGAGGAGGATCGTGATGAGTTTGAGGCCAGCCTGGGCTACATAGTGAGTTCAAGACCAGCCTGAACTGCACAGCGAGATCCTGTGTCAAAAAACCAAAAAAACGAAAAAACAAACAAAACACCTTAAAGTGTGGAATTCTTTATCAAATAATTTTAAGTCAATGAAAGCACCTGGGATTGTTTTTCTGACTTTGGATCATCTTATGCTTGTGAGCAGCTGTTTTCAGCTTGGAATTATATCAAATCTGATACCAGAACAGACTAACAGATGATGAGTGCTGCATGTGTTGCTCTCAAATTAACAAAGTGTTAGCACTGATAAATTATCAGCATCATACAACAGCAAAGTCGCATTAACAATGCAAAACCACACCAAATGCAAACTTTTACCTTTCAATAAAAAGCTGTTTGCATCACTGAAAGCTCTGCTATTGTGTTTTTCTTTTAAGACAAGATGTTCATGTCTGAGTTGATTTTTTTAAACTAAAATCTCAGTATTCAGGTTCAACTGCAGTGTTAGCACGCTGCAAAG